TTTGAAACTTCCGCCACCGCCTTGTGCGGTACTACTGGCATTATAGATTTTTATGCGTCTAAACCTGTCAGTATGATTCAGTATGTACATATCATATCATACACATTTTTACACGGTCAAACACTTTTTTTGGGGTTTGGGATGCCCAAATTCTTGGCCCTTCCCGGAATCCCCATGGCCCATGGCCTATGGCCCAGGTTGTTGAATACAAGCCCTCGCGGAAGCGAGCAAAACTCCTTGAGGCGATCCGGTGTGCTGATTGCTGCCATCCAACTAATTTAGTTGCATTTCGTTACTATGCCAAAAAAGGCCAGAGATCCTAATGTGTTTTTTTTGTCCCTGTTGTGGTTGTGATGTAAGGACCCCGTTTGCAACAATCACGTGTTGTTGTTAAATCAATTGAACCATTTGTCATGTACCCTCCGGTAATTCAACGTGGTAAATAGGTAACTCATCATTTTTATCATCAATAAATTGGACATGGTTTCCATAGCAAACTTTTAAACAACCAGAGGGTAATTCATATTAATCGCAGTATCACCATTATATCCATCATATTCCCATTGTGTTATTCAATTTCCCCAAGCATCATGGAACATCTCCCAGGACCTTGACATGAAGGTCGTCCATCGGCCCTCCGAGTGCGAGCTCATAGCGAGCATCCTGGCGCGATCGAATTTTGCGCAGATTTTGTAGTGGCTCGTATATGGGATGTGCACACAATATAGATAGATATAGATAAATATGTAATGTACATACACATTGTTATACACACATGATATATATATATACACACAATATACCTATTGCAATTGGGAATGAACCCGATTTTCAGACAAAACCGTGTGAGTTTTTCAATGATGCTGTGCAGCTGATATCTTTACAGTGCCAACAGATCCCTAGGTGATGGTGACTTGCTTCATGTCCATTACACCAGCTTCTTTGATGCAAATTGAAGCAATCTGATGGGTGGGTTTGAAATGCAAAGCTGAGTCTATGTCCAATCCTTGTCCTAGGTTTCTTGAAAAACGCCGGACAACAATTTGAAACCACAAAGGGTGGCGAGCCGTGCCCACTGCGAACCTTGTGACACTCCTGGAGCTTTGATATTCACATGTCCGGAAAACTTCAAACTCCAGGTACGTTTTCAAATTGGGCAACTGTGTCAAGCGTGCGAAGCCGGAATGCATGAAGGGCTTTCAGACTGCAGTGTCTGGAGCTCAGTAGCCAGAAGCAGGTACCACTGGCAAGTATGACGGGTGCCGCAACCTGCCCAGGACAGGCATGTGCACCGGTGAAAAGAGGAAAGTAGGGTCCTCAATCGTAGGTCCTCAATCGCATGCTTTTCTCAGAGCCGGCAGCGCAGTGAGAATCGTTCAATTTCTAGGACTGAACTCTTCCTGATTTGTGCCAGAGGTCACAATTCCCCCAAAGCTTGGGTATGAGAAGAAGGCGTGGGCAGATTTCAGTTCTGAAACGTAGGTTTTGTGTTTTTTTTTAGCCAGGTTCGTCCAAAGGAGATCAGTGCCGACGAACGCATCCTGTTTCACATAGAGATGATTGACATCGACAAGAATTAGTTTGCCAAGCAGCGGCCAGATCAACGACCAGCAATCTGAATGTCAATGCCAGAGGTTTGTCAGGTTTGTTCCATCTAATGATTGCCAATGCTGGGCTTGAGCTAGGTGTCTTAAAGGTGGCAAAGTCTCACCAGCGATGTGTCCAGCTAGCACAAGTCTGGAAGCGGCTGCACCTCCGAGAGAGAAAAAACGCAGACAGGTGTAGAAGTTGAGCGCTGCAGGAGTTGGGTGCTAAATGCATTATGAGTTGGGCTTTGACGACTGCAAGGTAGGAAGCATACTTGACATGGTCCTGTTGATTTCCGCGTGCTGTCTCTGCCACTTCTTCAAGAAGGATGGGACCAGAGTTTAGACTTAAGGGAGCTGGCAGGGCATGGGGCACCATGCTCAGAGTTCTCACTTGTGCTGCATGCAGAAGCCATAGCCGATGTCTTTCCGCAACAAAAAACATTGGAAGATCTTAGAAGCTAAGTTGCTCCCAGTAAGCGAGTTATCCAAAACCATCGTTGCACTGAGGCCACCTGAGCAAGTTCGGCTTCCAGCTCTTTCCACCTCAGCCTCTGCAGCTGCACTAGGGCAGAAAGGCGTGGCAGTCCGACAGCTGCTGTGCCGATGTGCCGAATGGCGCATGAGTTTCTGCGGAGGCCCAAGCGAGGGTGAACTGGTTCGCGCAGCCAGCCAGGCTGAGTTAAGGCAGTCTTCAGTTGGCTTTGTCTGAAAATAGAGTGCCCCCAATTTTGATGGTTGACCAGCTGACCATAATCCTCTTCACTAAAAGATCTAGAATCTAAAAGTTGAATTTTTGGTCGTGCCCCATGAGGAGCTCCCAACCTGCACCAAAGCCCAAAACCGGCCTTGTGACTGCCTGTGGCTTGGAAACCAGGTTGTCTGGCTTATATACTGTTTTTTAAGCTCATCTGCCACAGATTTGACATGTTTTTTTGCGTCACTTGTTGTTATTTGTTCCAATCTTGACATGGTGTACTCAAGAGAGGTGGGCCTTTGCCACCGCCGGGCCAGACAAGGTCAAGTTTCGAGGTGATCATGGTATCTCCTTTGAGGGGACGCGTGTATCTCATTCCGTGCTGCAGGCGAGATGCACAGTGTCCTAAAAAGAAGTTGTCGTTGCCCTTTGAGCGGCCCCTAAATGAATGTTTGGTTATTTTCGTTGTTAGATTTATAGGCTCAAACTTCGATGTGGACATTCCTGGCACAAGATGTTTTGACCGAGATCAACTCATCAACATTCATCAACACATTTTTTTCTTACATTCGTTCACCATGGGTCCCAGTTCGGTCACAGACGGTACCAGACTGTAAAGATCTGTAAAGACCTGAGCTGCGCGCCATGAACCTCCTCATTGGCTCCTATGACAGCGATGATGACGCACCGCCACAGCCGCTGAAGCGGCCTCCGGAAGTCGAAGAGAAAGAGCCGGGACCGAAGCCGCTGGCGCCGCCTTGGCGAACTCCTGGGGAAGTGGCAGTGGCAGACATGGTGTCATGACTTGATATGGAAATGGTCCACTGGACATGACATGGACAGCCAAAAGACGGTGGAGTTTGTGAAGTATCAAATCTATTCAAATCTGCCATGTGCTGTATGTGGTCAGCTCACGCATGGCATGGTGTTCCGACAGGTGTCGAATATTTCAAGCAACGCTCTCTGCAAGCTGGATCAGAACCTGGAGGAAGAGGAGACCCGGGTGGAGAGCTGCATCAGTTGTCACAGGGCTGTGCTGGCCGTTTCCCTCACAGGACATTGGGGCTGAGGAGCATGACCCATTCTGTGAATGTGCAGATTGCTCAATGCTACTGCTGCTGCTGGGCTTGAGTCAGATGTTTGAACTTGAGCTAGACACGTATTTCGACTGATTTCTGCCTGTTTAATGCAAATTTTGCGTGCTAAGGAGATTCATGGCAAAAAGCCTTCAAACGAAAGGGATCCGCTTCAAGTGCAAGCTCTGCAATAGTGTTTTCACATCCAAGGCAGGAATTTGGACTTTTGATGCTCCCAGTTCAAGACATGCTGTTACCTTTGCTGTGAGTCACTTTGGTGATAGGTTGGAGCTGCCGATCATTTCAAGAAGGTGCATGCCAAAGAGGTGCAGTCTTTCAAGACTCTTAGCGGTGTCAAGATCACCTGAGTTTGCTCAACACCATGCTTTTACCGTTTACCCAGTTTGTTTTCGATCAGTCATGAAACATGGGAATGGCGCAAAACATGTAGGCCCGTAGGCCCCAGGAGTAAACGTGACCAAAATCGTGTTTCTTTTGGTAAATTTTTTGTAGTTGCATAGCTATGCATAGCTATGCTCAGCTATGCTCTTCTGCCTTCGGATGGCGATCTCTCAGACGGCCTTTGCCGTCTTGGACCCTTGGGCCGCCTGAGGACAGAGAAGATGCCAAGGCTCTTTCGGAATGGCCCCTCCAAGGAGGAGTTAGCAGCCTTGGCACGTCAGCGTGACTTTGCGCGTGATCGCGTGCTTGGCAAAAGGCCAGCAGATGAGGCGGGTCTTACGGAGCAATCAGATTTTCACAAGTTTTTGCTTTCCAGTCTTCTTTCGGCTGATCGGCACCTTTGGCACCTTGGCTTTGACAAACATGCGACAGGATGCCAGCTTTGGAGGTTGGGCAAAGAAGGAGAAACCTCCGCCTCCACCATGCGAGACGCCCGAGTACGAAGGTATGATGCAGACTGAGATTTTCACAGCACCTCCATGGGAAGGTGCCTCGGTTTCCTTCAACTTCCGCTTGCAAATCTTTTCGACCTGTTGTGCCATGTTGTGTTGCAAATTCCATTTGCAGGACAGAAGCCCACGGACGATGATGCCACCGAAATGGATCGTGAGGTTGACAAGCGGATAACCCAAGCGCAAACGCTGCGGTTTTGCAAGCGCAACGTCCTAGAGGTCAAGAAGGACACTGTTCGCTGCAAGCTTTGCTACAAGACCCTGCCCAGCACTCGGGCTTGTGAAGAACACATTGGCAAAGACCATGAAGAGGATTTCAAGAAGGAGCTGAAAATGTGGGAACGCTTCTTGTTCACAACATGCAAAAGACAGCCACCGTTTGGTTGGGTTTGTAAAATCTGTCAAATCTTTTTTGCGACCGATGGTGCGTGCTGGCGGCATGTTGGTAAAGAGGTCTACATTAAGTTCGAGGAGCGCCACATGGGTGCTTGGCATGAAAAGGAGGATCGCTGGGGTCATGCAGAGGATGAGGAGTGCTGCGGAGATGGAATCAATGTTGGAGGAGGCTTGAGCTATGAGAGTGTCATGGCCTTTCACCAAGCGCAAGCCGCCGAAGAGGAGGCGAAAAACCGCATGGAAATGAAGAAAGCTAGCCAGGCAGTACAGGAAGAATCCTCATCATCAGATGAGGAAGAAGAAAAAGTTGGCAAAGTGCAGCAAATTGAGGAATTCTGACCATTGCCGAGATCTAAAGTTGGATCTCCCGAAAAAGCCTCTCTGAAGAGATGTCTGAAAAAGATGGAAAAAAGTTCAGTGAGTCAGTTTGGACCAGTTTGGATTTCTTTTTTCACATCCCCTTTCCGATCTTTTTCTGATCTTTTTCCAATCTTTCCGGCCCCGTGGCACCAGTATCCTATCTCCTGCGGACATCGCCAGGCATGGATGTTGGGTGTGCGACCTGGCTGGACTGCGCTGAGTGTGGATGGCCAAGCTGTGCAAACAAAGGACTGACGTTGCGGGAAGGAGAAATAGCACCAGTGACATCCAGACGCTTAGACAAGCTGCAGCCATATGGCATATGGATGCATATGGCCATTCATTGTGATTTATTTTGATATTCAAAGTTGAGCTCCCTTTGCCTGTTTTTTTTCATGCAGGAGGAACATGGCGTTTTGATTTTTCAAATGTTCCTCGTATCCAGGAGGACATAGAAGATGCTCTCCAAGCTGCGGTGGAAAGAGAGAAGCGGTGGGCCTTGAATCAGTTGAACCCTTGAAACGTACTTCTGGGTACCTTCCATTGTTGGACAAAGCCAACCGTTCCAGGTACGTCGTATGCTTCGAGAAGGGTCAGGGCAAATTTGGAACAGAGGCTTCTGCATTGCAGCCATCTCTGAGGCACGAGGCAGTGGCAGAGCACCCTTTTGCCAGGCAAAAGAGAAGGCTGAAAGAGCAAAACGTCAGCTGGCAAAGCTGCAAAAGGAGTTCCGCTTCCAGGCATAGTGTGTTCTTTCAAGAGACGTGGCTTGAACATGTTGGGGGTGTTCTCTTTCGAAGCATTTTGACCACCGCACGTCACACAGGGCTGGATTGAGCGTGCTGAGCATCGTGGTACCACACAAGCTCAAATCGAAAGGGCAGCTTGCTGAGTGATGTGTTGCCTCTTTTTTTGGGCCGAGTTGGAGATGTGACGTTCATGCCATGGCCTCTTTCGCGGGGCAACAGCTTTGCCATTTCAGCTGGGATTTCGTGTTCAGGTTTACGCCTGCCTGGAGGCGCAACAGCCTTTTGCGTGAGGAGTTTTGTGGATTCGCTTTGCCAAAAGCGCCTGCCAGGAAAATTGCTCAGCATGGGTGGATCACCTTCCAGCGAAGATGTCCAAGACATCTGGTAAACCGTAACATGGCCAGATTCTGCCGAAGCTAACAGGACCTAACATTCACCTGCAGCATTGGCTTGTAGGGAAATGATCCCAGGCTGCGAATCGATTTCCTCAATTTCTACCATCTGAGCAACAACCTGATTCTGCCTGTCACGAAGCCTGGGTCTTGGAGAGCGGAGGTTTTTTAGCATTTGGGAGAGCTCAACTCTGGACGGAATAAGATGTAGTAAACTTCAATAGATTAAAATAAACACATATGAAATGTAGCAGCTTGAAGGGATACAGGATGATACAGGATATTTGGAATAATCCACCAGTTGAGGCCCAGACGCTGTTCCTTTGTTGAGATGATGACGAACCAAGCCCAAGCACCTGCTGAAAGCTTAGCGGCGCCTTTTCAGGAGTTCCAAGCAGTTCATCCTTTCATGATCCTTCCATGATCCTTCCATCATCACGTTTCAACGATTTCAATGTGTTCCAACGTGCCACACAAGAAGCAACGCATTCAGAGCAACGCTTCGTCCCGCTGCAGTCCTGGTTTCTGAGCCACTGGTGGGGCCTTTCGGCCGAATCCTAAGATCCAGGAAGGTAGCTGGTTTTGTCATGGCATTTTCAGCTTTCAGTAGCATTACCCTCTGGTAAACTAACATAGCTATTGAAAATGGCCATTTACAGTTGATTTACCTATTAAAAATGGTGATTTTCCATAGCTATGTTAGTTTACCAGAGGGTATGGCCCTTTACTAGTTCGAACTGGCTTGTCTAACATCGATTTTGTCGATTTTGATTGATGCGTCTATGGTTTGGGGCAGCTTTCGCCCTCATTCCCAGGTTCAAGGCTTTGTGGCGAGTGTGGAGAAGCATGCAGCCACCAGAGGGCTGAGCGCGGACAGCTCATACTGGACCCCCTCGGTCTGTGTTGAGGGATGAAGTCACAGAAGTCACAAGAGAATCGACGAATCGATGAATTTTGTAGAAAGACCCCGGAAAGACCCACAGGGAAAGGAGCTGGGACAGGCTTGGACGCTCTGCCAGGGATTGAACTGAACATTCGATGGGGTTAGTGTCAAACAGGGTCTCCTTCTTTGGTCTGTGTATTCCTGCTCCTTTTTCCAGTCTTGGGCTCTCCAACTTGCAGAGAGCTGTCATCTTTGTACAAGTTAAGCATGTTAAAGATGAACGACATTAAAAATGAACAGGAAACCAAAGGACCAAAGGTTTGCATATGTCTCGCTGGAAGGACATGGACCTTTGCATGCAGACTGTTGGAAAAGCAAAGTTCCATCCTCAAAGGCAACTTTTGATCCAAGACAGCTTCCACATGGGTAAGTGGCGCAGCTTTCTGACCACTCCCCCAAAGCATTTGTCCGTTCTTAAGGTGAGATTTGTGAGAACCCCACAAAGGCTAGTGGTGCTGGTGGGTGGGCGGCTTTTTTTCAATATGCTGCTGGTGCCGTGGGTGTGGGTTCTTCAGTGGTAAGCATTGTATGGGTGTCTTTGGCAGGCGCTGTTCTACAAGCCCATGGAGACGTGTAAGTTCAAGCTCTTGCTCATCATTGACCAACAGGTGCAATGCATCGCAGACCGCGTTCGGATTCCATTCGCGAGACTGCAGGCAGTTTGCTTCAAGCGCAGCTGGTGTCTGCTTCCCAGCCATTTCTGATGGCTATAGGAAGATGGCTGGGCGCATTCGTATCATTGATGATAGCTAGCAGAATTCACAGAATTTGAAGGGAAAATCTACGACCAAAAGCTTATAAGCTTATGTCTTATTATGTTTAGGAGTAAAATCCATGGTTTCCTGTAGATTTGTTCCTTAAGATCATCCAAATTGACATGGCCTGATGTTCCTAAGGCCTGTACGAGACAGCCATGACGGTTGATACCAATTTGGCCATGGTTGACTGTGCGTGCGTTAACAACAGCTGAGACCTCAGGGAAGCAACTCTCACGAAATGTTCTTCTCGTTTCAGGACGTCATTATGTAGATTTACCAGCAACTCAGTAGTGCTACTGTAGACTGTGGATGGAAGAAATCCTGCACCAGTTGATAGATGGTTTATCCCACTATTAATAGGGTTTCAACCATCCAAGGTGGTGCAGGATTTCTTCCATCAACAGTAGTGACTGCTAGTGGCTTCAAATCGATTTTCCGACATTTTCTGATGCTGATCCCGGCATAGTGGATGGGTGGCTCGACGGGGTAGCCCTTTTCTTCAACCATTATTTAACTTCAAACCATGGTTAATTGCATTTAGTTACCACATTTTCAACTAAGAGTAAGACTAGTATTTAATCTTCACTACACTAGCTCAGTAGGTACTCAATATACCAATCTCATCCAACTTATATATATATACAGACACACATTTCTTTCCACTATTTTCCACTTGTTATAGGTGTTTTCATGTGTTTTCGCAGTTTTTTTCCAACTTTTTCCCAGGTTTTTCCACTTTTTCTTGGCAGCGCCTTGGCCGGATCCTGACTGGTCCAGGTGGTGGGTCTGAGCTGATCACCCATGGCTTGACGGAGGACGAGGAGAAGATGGAAACACAACGACCTGGACACGGTGTAAGGCGCCAGGGACGATGGACACATATTTCATCATATTAAAAAAAAACAATAAATACTTAAATTTACCCTGTAATAACCGTATATAACTGTATAACTTCTGTATAACTATGATTTCAATATTTTTTCTAAATGCTCAAAGATAAACATGTATTCGCTTTTGTATCTGTTTAGTAAGGGATGATACGATAGAATAGAAGTGACAGTCTTGGCTGCTTCACCCGGTTTCCCGGTTTCTGGGTTTCCCCGTCACAGGGCGAAACTGGCCAGAGAGGCCGGCTTTCCAATGGAAGTCGCAGAAGCAGGCTGTCGAAGCGCCCCGATTGAGTGATAGCATGTGATAGCCTCAGATAATCTGAAACTTCCATTATATCTGATGGTAATCTAAATTTAACATAATGGGAAAATCCATCAGCCAGACGATTTTCCCAGCTATATCAGCGACAAAAACCTCTGCCAGTATCCTCCACGGGGATGTCCCAGCAAGCAACAAGTTCGCCAGGACTGGGTGTGCAGGTGGAGAAGTCCGAGGAGGGAAACCCAACAAAAAGGGTTGCAGCCTTCATTTGCAAAAGATGGGGTCGCATATAGAATGCATATAATATATATATATATACATATGAATCTAGAAGGATCCCACATGCAAAGTTGCTGAGTCCAGCATCTTTGATCAGGCATGGACAGAGGAAGACAAGGCCTCGATTCTTCACAGCGTGGCATCGCGCAGGGCTGAGGAAAGAGGTATGATGTGCCTTGGTTCCCCTTGCACTTGTCCTGCTCCTCGTAACCAAGGTATGATCGAGAGGTGCAGCTTGTTGGTGGTTTCAACAATAATCACATGTATGTATAATTATACTATGGGATAATTACATACATATATGGGATAATTGTATATTAACCAGTATATTGAAACCATCACATGATTATAATTATATACACATCCCTTTTTTCATCTTGGGATGATCCCAGTTGACCGACCCAAGATTTTAGTCTTCCAGGAGCAGCAGAACTTGGAGAATGCAGAAGCCAGACTCCGTGCACGTTTGGCAACAGTGATCCGCTCGGCGAAACGTGAGTGCTTGGATTCCTTGAATGTGATCTGAAAGCTGCAGATCAAATTGTCTCTGGAAACTCCAAGGCATTCTGGCCCCGAGTTGCACGACCTGACAAGGACTTCCAAGTTCGAGGCAGCCAGGTGATGATAATCCCCAATTAATATTGGGAACTACAAACCCCAAGAAAATCATCAACCAACCATTATTTATCAATTATCACCCCATATGTTTTTTGTTTGAATGTCACAATCCCCGTAAAACCCCTATATTTGATAGTTTGCCATAGAATTATAAACCAACAGGGGTCACCATGTAAGCTTATGAAATAGCCATAGCCATGTGCAGGATGGGAGAGCAGCACCTACAAGGCGTGTTGCGAAGGCACCTGGGATGTGATGCTGCTGCAAAACCAGCATCTTCAGTGGTTTAAATACTATAAGAACCATCTTATTAGGATGCAAATATATACAGTAACTGGCTGGTGGTTTTTAGATATCATATATATGTATACGAAATTTTACACACAGTATGTACACATACACATGCGTTCAACTACATTTGCAGCGCCGTCCAGGCCTTGAGCTGCATTCAGGAGGATGCTCGAAGGAGGTCTTTGGCGATGCATCTGCAGGGCCAGAAGCTCAGTAGCGAAACTGATCTACTGATCCACCAATTCACCATGCAGCATTGAGGCCTCAAGAGTGAACACCTCCATATGCTGGCAGATTCTTGGCTGGGGCCGGTGATAGCTCGTGTCGTTGGCTGAAGGCTGAAGCTGTTTCTTTCCGGCTGAGCAGTTCATGTTTGAGGAAAGTTTGCCTCCCAACCTGATTGAGCTCACCCTCAACTTAAGGCCACTTGGTATCTGAGTAGCCGAGACATCATGCAGCCACAGCACCACGCTTGTTGGAGCTGAGGTGTTCTTCACTGAAGGATGATGACATTGCAATGCTGGCAAAGGCCACATCCTGAATTCAGTATGTGGGTTGATGTGGGTTATAGCCTATGGTCTTGGAGTCTAGGTGAAACCAGTACTTGGCAAAACTGCATGCGCACCTTGATGTGTCTCAGGCACTTCCGAAACAGCTGAAAGAGCTAAAGCTCGACCTCAGCTGCTGTAGGGACCCTGAGGTTGTGATGTGCTCTGCATTTAGTCCACATTGCGAGGGAAGATGCTGCATATCCATAAGTTAGTACAGGGCCAACATGTGTATTCTATATCACATTGTATCACATTGATACGTTGTTTGTTCCAACCAATGAACAAACATGCTACAGGGATGTTGTCCTCTAAACAGTTGCTATATGACACTGCTCTGGCATCCTGGACCAAGAATGTTCTGGAATGCAATGGGATTGAACGATTGAACCCAATGCATTCAATGAATTGTGCAGGAACATTTTTGAAGTAGTTTACATTGTTTTTATTTTCATCTATTTTCCACCTGTGTCTGTACCTGTCCACAAGTACTGTATATAAATGTACTCCTCCCACAAGAATTCCATCCTTTGAAATACCAATGCGCACTACCAATTCATAAAAGGTGTTCTGATTGGCAAAGAGTGATGGCACCATATTTGTTCAAAGGTTGACTCAGAGAAGAATGGTGGTTATCTTCTTGGTTAAGATGCCACATTTTCGAATTCATTGGTGAAACAGCCACGCCATAGTGAGGACATACGGACACAGGGCTCCTTTTTTGACAGCCATGCTTTGTTATCCTTGTACCGAGGTCAGCAATTGACAGATGCAGGAATCAAGAAGTTGGCGTCGCAACTGAATTTTGAAGAAACAGCGGCCACTTGTCACCGAAATCTTCGCAAAGCTTTACCAACAGATCTTCCATTGTCACGGCACCATGGCGTGAGGTGTACATCCGGCTAGCAGAGACAGGGGTGAGCAAGGACGTCCAGGCGGATGGTCGCGAGCACGTGCTGATTTTTGCTGAGTTTTTTTTTGCGATGCAGGATTGGTATGCTGCAGAAGCAGCCAAGAATGAAGAGAATGGCCAGAATGGGCAACTGAAAAATGTGCCAAGGGCCAAGTTTGAAAGAGTAAGGAAAGGATGTGACATGCTGTACAGAATATAATATAATGGATTTTGAATTGTAAATCATACTGCAATATGATATTTGATATGATATGATGTAATACTATATGCCATACTGTAGATTGATTGAATTTTGGGCTTCGACATCGGGCTTGGCCAGAACAAAGTGATCAAGCCTCCGTTTGGAATCTGGAATGAATGTGTTCGATCCTGGTGTCAACTTCGAAAAGTCGTTAAAGTATCGAGGTCTCCTTTGTTGTTCCTCTTTTGGGGATGCAGTAGATCAAAATTGGCAGATGCCATTGGTGCAGGCAGAGTTCCTACTGTGGATGGTTGCCCTCTATCCTGCACCAGTGGATGGTTTATCCCATTATTCATAGTGTTTCATGGGTACCAATAGTTCCCAACTGGTGCAGGATGGCTTGTCCATCCCTGTCCGATGCTGAGGTCCCATGCTTTGCACATGTCGCTATGCCTTGACCCTGCTGTGTCTGAACTACATCGACGAACCATGGTGCCAGCTGCCACCTTGCTGGGGAAGGCCTGCAACAAATGGCATTTTAAGATATTTTAAGTGGGTTTCAGTCTGAAGATGTGGGGAAAACATGGGAAAACCACCAACATTTGGGTAGAGGTGGTCATTCTTCTCAGTTGAGATATCTTGCCATTTGGGTGTGGGCAGGTCCTGACGGAGGACAGCGAAGAGCGTGCCATTGCAGCTCACCATGGAGGATTCCCCCAAAAAGGAGAGTCTTTTGCAGTCCCAAGGGCCCTAAAGGGCCCAAGGGTCGAGAATTCGAAAGAATACACTACGAGGCATTTCCAAATATCTCCCAGAGTATTCGAAGAGCCACCAGCACAATTCCAGCAAGGACGGCACTTAGCTTTGTAGTTTCACAATGTTTCACAAACTAAGGCTGCCTTGCGGGCGTTGGACTCCTTTGGTGAAAAGGCACGAAATGCATTGGGCGTGGAAGCGCAGCAGCGAGCCAAGGAGCTTTGCAGCATGCCCAGCTCAACTTCGTTCAGAAAATCCCAGCACATACCCGTCGTAGGAGCTGGAGTTGGCAATGCAACAAGCCGAAGAAGTTCCGAGCTTGATCATATTATGTCATATCAGTCATATCATATCATATGCTTGATTGTCAGAGTCCAGCCAGGTGTCGAGATATGTCAAGATTAATATATGAGGTCAGTTCTAGCTGGTTGAGTAACAGAGCCAAATACCCAAGGACCGAAAAGCAAAAGAAGCTCTCAAAGCTCAAAAGGCCAGCATTATGCAGCATTATGCAGCATTCAGATTGCAGGATTCACATGCAAGTACCTATCAAGTGACAGAAACTGAAATCCAGTTTCTGGACGGCTTCTGTATGTTTTGTTCCCTCCCTGATCAGTTATCCAAATTTTGGCAGGCAGCCCAGAAAGAGGAAACAGCTTCAGGCTGAAGATGCATCGTGGCTGAACCAACCAGTGTCTTTCCAAGCCTGAAACCTGGTGGGCCGCCCTACTGCTGGGCCCAACTAACAAAAAAGAGGAGTGAAAGCACCTCCTGCCAGGGCCTTTCAAGAACGCTGTAACATTTTGTCATTCATTGTGATGAATTTGAAGAATCAAAGCCCCCGTTTTTGCCACTCTTTGCTACCAGACAACCAGCTTGTTTGGCTATGGCATATTGGCATCCTGCATTTCCAAAATCTGTGTTTGTCAAACAACGCAGATGCAGCGATGATTCCACTTAGTACTTTTCGCAGTTGCAGTTGCCACGCTGGCCTCGCGATGGGGCAAGTTGTGGATGGCTTTAGAGTATCACTGGATCCTTGATTTCCCTCTATGGGAGTGCTGCATTGGTAGAAGAACATGTGCACACGGTTTCTGCGAATGCACTAGTGAGCGTTTGTTTTTGATGTTCCAGGCAAGAACGGCCTTCATTTTTTCCTGCGTTCAAATCATGCAGCCCTCTGTTTATGCTTCGCTGATTCCCGCAGCAATTCCTCAAAACATATGTCAGTTTGACAATATGACACTGCTCTTGGTTGGGGGCTTAGCTCTGGGTAGAAAGTCGAGGGGTTGAGGCTGCTGCATTTGAAGCTGCTGTTGACAAATCTCAATGCTCGCTGTTGCCAGGTGCTTCGTGTCTCATCCATATTCTGCGCGTTGGCGCTTCGACCACATCATGACCCTGAGACCGACATCCCTGACCCTGTGCTAAAGCCCGAGAACCAGGAAACCGGGTTGGAAAAATCAGCAGAGCTGGCAGAAGCGAATGAGACCGACAACACCGACAAGACCATGGCGACCAATGCGACCAATGCGACCAATGCGAGCAATGGGACCCAGACCGAGCAGCACCCGAACCTTGCCGACATGCCCATGCCCAACCTTATCGTGGCTTGGCTGATGTCCAGACAGTCATGGAGTGACCGGCTGCAATTTACTGTAGAAATGGGGCCCCAAACAGGTTCTTAGAGGGGGGAAGATTCATGAAACACAGGCCAATGGGGGACATGACCAACCCCTAACTGCCAAAAGTATCCAAAAGTTTCGGCACAAAGATCGGGCAGATCGGGCAGTGAAGTCTTTTCACTCATGGCTCGTTCGCGCATGGGTCGGCTCCTGGCCTTGTCGCTGCTGGCCTTTGGCCTTGGCTGCCTGAGCTGCCTGAACTTTGTGGCGCCCCTGCGGCCCAGCAGCACAGTGGAACGGGCGCAACGCGTTCAACTTCAGGCTGAGGCAGCACCGAAGAAGAAAGAAAAGGCCAGAGGTGGTGAAATATGGTGAAATGATAGTTTAACAATGTTTACCAGTTTGTTTCACAATTTTAAATTAGTCTCAAAATGGGGCACCCTAATTTCCAATCCATTATCCCCAATTTGCCTGTTAAATGCCCAAGTTCAGACACAACCAACGTCCCTGTTGAATATCAACCACAATTGAGGAACAACTGGAGATAATGTTAAACATCCTCGTTTCATGTCGGACGGGCCAACCCCGTTTCAGGCACCATGGGTTGGTCCGAAGAAAGGCTCATGGGTCAAGATTCTGCGACCAGAGTCCTATTGGTATCAGACTCGTGGCCAAGTGGTGAACGTGAACCAGAAACCTGAAGTCAAGTACCCAGTGACCGTGAAATTTGATCGTGTCAACTTTTCCAATGTGAACACCAATGGCTTCGCTCTCTGGGAGGTGATCGAGGCACCAGCCCCTGGTCCAGGAGAAGTGTAAGGCTCAAAATTGTGATTGCGAATGGCGATCATGTGCCAACAACTTTTTTGAATGCAGGCGTTGCTTAGGTACGGCTCAGTTCGCTAAAGAGTCGATGCAAACATCCCACAGCGGATGGTGCAGAACTTGAAGGAAAGAGAAAAAGTGCTGTATCCTGCGCTTTGGTCATGCCCCTGCGCTTTGGTCATGCCTTGTTTTGGACAACATTGGATTTGGTATTCTTCCATGCACTGCATTTTGCACGTAAGTCTCGGGTCGCAAGGTGTCTCAGAGAGAGAGAGAGAGAGACGAGACGAGACGAGACGAGCAGAGCAGAGCAGAGCTGAACATAGCAGAGCAGAGAGAAGGGAACGGAAGGGAAGAGAAGAGAAGAGACGAGAAGAGAAGAGACGAGAAGAGAAAGGGAAGGGAAGGGAAGGGAAGAGAAGATAAGAGAAGAGACGAGAGGAGAGGAGAGGAGAAGAGCGGAGAAGAGAGGAGAAGAGACGAGAAGAGACGAGAAGAGACGAGAAGAGACGAGAAGAGACAAGAAGAGAAGAGGGGAGAAGAGAAGAGAAGAGAAGAGAGGAGAAGAGAGGAGAAGAGACAAGAGGAGAAGAGAAGAGAAGAGACGAGAAGAGACGAGAAGAGACGAGAAGAGAGGAGAAGAGACGAGAAGAGAGGAGAAGAGAAGAGAAGAGAAGAGAAGAGGAGAGAAGAGAAGAGAAGAGAAGAGAAGAGAGGAGAGGAGAAGAGAAGAGACGAAAAGAGAAGAGAGGAGAAGAGAAGAGAAGAGAGGAGAAGAGATGAGAAGAGAAGAGAAGAGACGAGAAGAGACGAGAAGAGACGAGAAGAGACGAGAAGAGAAGAGAAGAGACGAGAGGAGAAGAGAGGAGAAGAGAAGAGAAGAGACGAGAAGAGAAGAGACGAGAAGAGACGAGACGAGACGAGAAGAGAGGAGAAGAGAAGAGAAGGGAGGAGAAGAGATGAGAAGAGAAGAGAAGAGACGAGAAGAGACGAGAAGAGAAGAGAAGAGAAGAGAAGAGAGGAGAAGAGAAGAGAAGAGAAGAGAAGGGAAGAAAGGAGAAGAGAAGAGAAGCGAGGAGAGGAGAAGAGATTAGAAGAGAAAAACGCAAATTAGGGAAAATGTGAAGCCAACTCCTGACGGAGACTGTACTGGGTCCTCAAACCCTGGCATTGTTCTATCACCTTTGTCCTTGTTGCATCCCTTGCACTGACTCATCAAGGATCGACTTCAAGAAGACAAGTACAGTTGGGCGCACGTTGCCACTGCGCTGATCATGGTGGCTTGTTCAGCTGTCATGCTTCTTGTTTGCACTGATAGGGCTTGAAGACAAGCTGTGACTGGGGGCCTTTTTGCAAGTGTGCATATTCCTTTCCTTCTCCCCGTGTTGGGGTAGGCTCTCGCCTTAGAATTGCTGCACTTGGAGTGTGTTCAGGTTCGTTTCGGGCGATCTTTTTGCTTGCTTGAAGGCCTTGGCAAGCCTTAGATCAACTGAGTGGAAGAACTTTCAATGCCAGACTGCCAAAGACTGCCCAGCGTGTTGAGAGAGAGAGAGAGAGAGCGAGAGAGAGAGAGGGAGGGAGAGGGAGTGGGAGAGGCAGAGAGAGAGAGAGAGAGTCACAGAAAGATGATACCGTGGCAGGCGCCTGCTGCCAGCGAACAACAGAAAACGGTTGAGGATGGTGAAGAGGCAGATGAAGAGGATGGTGAAGCCGACACTCGAGGTGGGACAAGCGTCATCATGCCCAGCAATGCCCAGCCATGCCCAGCATGCCTAGCCATGTTCGTTTCTGGAGGGTGTATATAACGCAGATCGATGAGTCCCGTAGATACCTTCCAGATCCCACCAGAATTATCATGGTTTAGTACTGGATCTATTCATTTTTGGTCTTAATGGGCGCACTGAATTCGGGAAGGGAGTACAATGCCGCATCTTTGGTGCACAGGTCCCTTGCGCACAGGTACCCAGATGTTGCCGGCCGAGGAGAAGTCAGATCAGCCAGTCAGATGGTTCACAAAGGCACTGCGGCTGCTGGCTCAGAGGGAGAATGTGAATTGCAAAACCACAAGCAGTATTTGCGAGCATCTTGCTTTCCAGAAAGTCTACGCTTCCAAGGAAAGGCAAGCTGTCAGCGGAATGTGGCTGTTTGACTCTTCGATTCGAGAATGAGTACACCGAGAAGGTGGCTTTGCTGCATGTCATTTCCATGTAGCACCATGGAAGGTCTGATGCTAAATTATTGATTTCTGATTGCTGCTTGCTTCATTGTAGGCTGGCCTATCAAGCTCCGCTAGGTATGGACGCTGGACAGTTTGCCCAAGAACATGCAGCGTGGTGCGGCTTTAATGGCGGGCATGGCCATTGGCCTGTTGGCGAATCGTGTGTTCTATGCTCCTTGGCCGTTGTTCCATAGGGCCATAGGGGAGGGGAGTGCCGACGATTCGCTGATGCCTTTTTTACTAAACTGCCACGCAGCAGATGCTGCAGACGCTGCAGTACTTGATTTCTCTTGCAAATCGTTTCCTCAGAGCTTACAGCCCCTCAGGGCCCCAGGGCGGCCCCAGAAATTCCATGACACAACGGCGTGCCCCAGACCTCCGACTCCAGTGGATTGCATCCTCGATCTTGCCACTAAGTTCTACGAATACTTCACGTGCGAAGACCTGCACGACCAAAAGTATGAAGGTTACTACTCTCTGAACGTGGATCTGTGCTTCTCACTCTGATTCTTGGCACAACTTGAAATACATTCGCTATTGTTTCATTTCATCAGCCAGATTGGCAGGAAGACTTGGGTGCCACTGCTGTTTCAGGTCTTCTCGGGGTGATGGCAGCTTCGTTGCTCTTGACCTGGACATTGGGGGACAGCAAGCCGCGGCAAGAGTTGAGCACGGCCCATGTTGCCAGTTATTGGTGTTCTCTCGGTTGCAGATCAGTGAGAGTCTGTGAATGTCGTTTTTTTTTTTGTGGTGCTACAGTTGCTAGTTTGGGAGTGGGCAGAGAATGGGAGTTGTGTGTGATAGAAGGGATTGCGCACGGTTTCTTGCAAAATGCCCAAGGTCTGATGTTGTTCCTGTGGGGCGCCTTCCTGGCCACAACTGTTCCTCCATTGAAGATGACCTGTGAGCAGCTTGAAGATGTTGGTGGCATCATCCCCGATTCAAAGAGCATCTGTGAGGGGCTCTGGCGCATTCCTGCAGCTTGGTGGCATGAGACCTGGGAAGGGTTTGAGTCCGAGCCTGCAATTCACTGTAGTCACTGTAGTCACTGTTAATTGGCTGAGGCCCTAAAGCTTGACTGCACTTTACAAGGGCACACAGCTTGCCAGATCTTCATGCTGTCATATGCTCAGTTGGCTTGAATGTAACTCTTCGGATGCATGGTGGTGGTTTGGCCATTTGCTGTGATGCTTGCACTTGATGTGAAATGCATTCTTCCGAACTTCTATTTGCACCTGTTTCGACCGTGTGTTTCTTCCCGTTTTCTGCACTTTCTCGTTTACCCACTTCAATAAGTGGAGCGGGCCGATCGGTTGTACATGTAAACTGCCGGTATGCAGCACATACATGCCTTTGTCGCCTCCACCTCGTCTTTCATTCCATAGCTGCTGCTTAGCTGATGCAGTGCTTCATGTTTCCTTGGGTCATCCCCCCTGATATCTTGATGTCTCTGGTATCTCTTACCATAAAGATTCTTACCTACCCATGCCTGTCAATCATGCGATGTCCCTCCCGCTTCTTCTGATGCTTTCAGCATTCTAAAATTTGGAGTGTTCCGTGCTTGCGGCTTATCGTGCTCCTTCAAGTTCTATACCTCGGTTTCCTCTCTCTCTCTCTCTATCTCTCTAACTTTGGTTTGCTAGAGATGCAGCCATCCTCGCCCAAGGAGGCTGGAGCAAACTCTTTCAGACCTGAGATGGGCGCATGCCCGATTGAGCAAGACTGGACCCATACAACTTTTTCGTAATCTGAGCGAGGTTGGTGTTCCTTTTGGAAAATATAGAGCATGCCATGTTGTGTTGAGGTTCCTCCTTTCTTTGCCTTTTGCGCTGCCACAGCTCTATCACCAGTACTTAGCCTTAGTCTGGCTTCTCATCTATGGGGGTGCCACTTATGCCTATGGGGCACTGTGCCTTGGCTTGATGATATTGAATTCTGATTCTATGATCATAGCTGTGAAATTGATTCCTGAGCTGATGCTGGACCGCCCAGGAATCACTTGGGCATAGAGGCGGAAAAAAGGCAGAACAAAGACATGATGCTGCACCTGAGCTTGTTCCTCACTCAGTTCCTGGATGTGATGCCAAAGACAGTGGTCATTTAATGTGCCATTGTTTCATTGTCCAAGTACATGCAAGCTTGTTCCGAGCAAGGCTGATCCTTGCCTTGGGCATTGGCTACTCAAGGAAGTTCTCCTTGGAATCTTGCCACTTTGGATCCAGTCAATGCAGACGTGTCGCCAGATTCTTCTTTTTGAGGGTAAATGCCGAACGAATTTACATGTTTGGTACTTGCTTTATCGTAAAAAACTAGCTCAGCTTTAGCTGTCCTTGCTTCAGCAAGGTTGTGGAGTATCAAAAGTTGCTGATCATTTGGAACTTCAGGGCGGCATAAGAACAAGATCGTGCACATTTCCGGGGGCCCGATCTGCACAAGAACAACGTCATAACGTCATAACGTCATCGTCATTGTCATCATCATCGTCATCGTCTTCGTCATCGTCTTGAAAATCATCTCCTTTATCTAAACAACAATGACGCAACTGATAATGATAAAAGTAATGATCAACAATCATCATGGCCCTTCATCATGGCCCTTCATCATCCTCATGATCCTCGTGATCCTCAGGATCCTCATGATCCTCATGATCCTCATGATCCTCATGATCCTCATGATCCTCATGATCCTCATGATCCTCATGATCCTCATGATCCTCATGATCCTCATGATCCTCATGATCCTCATGATCCTCAGATCCTCAGGATCCTCAGGATCCTCAGGATCCTCAGGATCCTCAGGATCCTCATGATCCTCATGATCCTCATGATCCTCATGATCCTCATGATCCTCATGATCCTCATGATCCTCATGATCCTCATGATCCTCATGATCCTCAGGATCCTCAGGATCCTCAGGATCCTCAGGATCCTCAGGATCCTCATGATCCTCATGATCCTCATGATCCTCATGATCCTCATGATCCTCATGATCCTCATGATCCTCATGATCCTCATGATCCTCATGATCCTCATGATCCTCATGATCCTCATGATCCTCATGATCCTCATGATCCTCATGATCCTCATGATCCTCATGATCCTCATTGATCCTCCTCCTCATCCTCCTCACCACCACCACAAACCACCACCACCACCGCCACCACCGCGCCGCCGCCACCGCCCACCGCCGCCGCCACCGCCACCGCCGCCGCCACCGCCGCCGCCGCCGCCACCGCCACCGCCCCCGCCACCGCCACGTTTGATCGCTGTACAGAGAAGTCGACACTGAAGTTTTGTACAGCTGATTGATGTCTTGCAACGTGTAATACAGTTCAGTTCTACAATGATGTTGGTTCAACTTCAAGGTACATGTTGCGGCTGAGGCAGGGTGTTAAGAGTACATCTGCACATGTACATGACCCGTACAGTTCCAGTTACAACATGTTACTCTTGACTGTGTACATATCATGGCACGTGACATTTGGGCTCCATACAGGGCCCTTGAGCGATACAGTGAAAAGTGCAGCTGATGGGCTACAGCTGCTGGGAGTACAGGAGGAGAAGTTGTACATCAGATTTGAACAATGATGATGATGGTGGTGGTGGTGACCATGGCGACGACAACGACGGCGACGACGACGGCGATGACGGCGGCGACGACGACAACAATGATGATGGCGATGAGGATGAGGATGATTATGATCGTGATGACCATCATGGTCATGATCGTGATGATGCTCATGATCATCATAATCATCCTCATCCTCATCCTCGTCCTCGTCCTCGTCATCATCGTCATCATCATCATCATCATCATCATTATCATCATAGTGTCATAGTGGCCATAAATAATATCACTGTCACACTCTGCGTGTTTTTGTCTTTTTTCGGCCTCTGTGATACGTTCGCGTTCACCAGCAATTGCATCATCATCCGGATTTTTTTTTTAATGGTGTCTGCTCAACTAGATGTCCTGCTAGCTTTCGTCCTGTCCCCCCTGCCACCAGTTGCTTCTTGGTGCTAGTTTGGAGGTTTGCTTGGCATGAAGTCCACAACAAGTGACTCCACCCATCTTAGGCAATGTTTTCAATATGCAAGCAACCCTGGCTTAGGAAAAGTCTATGCGAAAACACTTTGTTTGCCAGCTGAAGCAGCGTCAAGCAATGGCACCTTTGTAACATGGCTGTGATCGATTGGAGGGCAGTCCCAAAACTGAACCACCGAGATTTTGTGCCTCTTCTCTTGCCGCCAGACACCTTGAGGGAGATGACTGTCATGTTTGCAACGTGGGATCACAACTTGAAACCAGTCCAAGGTACTTAATGTTCAAAGAGATGGTGCCCGAGTACGTCATTCCCAGGATGCTCAACAAAGAGGTGATAGCAGACCCACGCAGCACAGTCACGGTTCTCTTTGTGCTCATTGACAACTTCGGTGACTACACCAGGACTGCTTGGCTCTTGTCCCGGCTGTCCCTTCGCCATGCATTGGTCATTGGTCCGCATTGGTCAGTTCTCACTGCCGATGGTTGCGCAGGGAGAAGCAAAATCCGCAGAGCTCGCTGAAGTTCCTCAATGCCTGCTTTGACAAGATGGCACTTTTGATGCAGAAATGGCCGGTAGATTTCTGGGCCCAGCACACCTGTCCTTACCATTGCTGACATCCCTGGTCTATTGATCCCTACGCTGGTTTGGACACGTTCACCTGGGGTCAGCTTTGTTAACTTACGGCTAGATTTTAAGCAATCAGCAATCCCATGCCCACTAGCAGTGTTGATAGTTGCCATGCTGTCAGGTGAGTACACTCACAGAAGCGAGGTAGACATTTGTGATTGCATGATATTGCGTCGGCGTAGTTATGGGTTGATTGAAGTAACATGATATGAGTCAAACTCTTGCTTCATGCTTGCTACGTAACCCAACCGAGTTGAATGGTGCAGCTAGCTGAGGATACTATCTGTGCCAAGTACAAGGTGACGAAAATTGAGACAGTGCAAGAGGAATATGTTGCTTGCGTTGGTCGGTGGCTTACTTTGCCTATTCCTTCACTGAGTTCAGCTACAGCATAACGAAGTGCAGCTGAGGTGTCACCATGGAAGAGCAAAACATTGATCACAAGGTGCTTCTAAGCAAGCTGCTGAAGGTGGGATGTGGCAGGTTGCACTGCGGAGCAAGAATAGCACAGTAGATAATTTGATATCATTTGATCATGGTAGACTTCTTGAGGGATCATTGAAGTCTTGGCAGGCTGCTGCAGAGATCTTGGCCGTGAAAGAGGTAGAAGTGGAAGGAGGTCAGAAGGTGGCTGTAAGCTTCAAAATGGGTACTTACCCCAGATGCTGCAGGCTTTCAGGGGTACTGTAGATGCAGTCAATGTGGTCACTGTTCTTCTTGGCACACTTTGGCATCCCGAGGCATGCACACAGGCTCCATTGTGGCCGGTGTCACTGGCTCAAAACTGCCACGATTCCGTCTCTTCGGGGATACCATCAACACATCGGTGGCTCGGCTGACTCTGGCCGCTGGCCGCTGAAGTCTGTGGAAGGAGCGGCTCTCATGTGTTCGATCAGTTTCCATGGGTGCTAGCGGCTCTCGCCGAACCGGCCTTCTTCAATCGTTTAAGCACTTCTCTATTGTTATTCCTACCCAGATTCCATGTGAACCAAGGCCCGGATGATGCAGAAAGGCTGGTCGGGAGTGGCGGAAATTAAGTCACGTCCATGGCCGCGCAAAGCGGCGTGTATTTTGCATTTGTGCCACGCTCAAGGCCAGCCGGGAACAGTTCAATTTGGTGAAGCAACCATGAACTATGCTACTTGGCTTTGAACCTTTTTGATGCCTCAAGTGCAGTTTCCTGTAGTTTCCTCGGCACTTTGACGAAGGTGGATGCAGACAAGGTGGTGGACAACAGTACTCGGCCAAACAATGGCATAGTCACGATGAAGGGAAAGGGAGATGTACAAACCTGGGCTGCTTGGCAAAACATGGGGCTGTAATGTCACCTTAAATATTGTTACATAGGTGTGGGGCTGTAGCCCCATTGACGTGTGCTTGCATGGCAGAAGAACATTCAAATCACATACCTGTTGCCACACACACGTATACATACATATATATATATATTTAATATATATATATACATACTGAGTTGCTGTGGGCGATGCGATCGGTAATCATTGATTCAGAAACAAGGAGACGCTAAGATTGTCCGCTTGATCTTTCAGCATGTGCACTAGTGTGAGGTATTGAACACAAAGGTTGCAGCAGAGGCCAGCGCTTTGGCGTGCTTGTGTATTGTTGGACGAGGTGCTGGCTCTGCACCCCATATGCAGTAGCAGGAGGGGTCAGCATAAATCAATACCCTTTCCACGTCCTTGACTATGCACAGGAGGGAGGAGTAAAGCCCGATGAAAAGAGGCGCACCGCATAGTTGAGCATGTCACTGGCGTGCCAACGTTTTTTTGCATGTTGTGTACGGAGATTGGTCAGCGACGATATGACTTTGCTGCAAGCTTCCGCTTCCCCAGGAAGTCGGCATTGTCGCAGATGGTCATGGGACAGTCGGTAGAGGATAGCTGGACCTCCCGCCTACGAGACATGGTGCTTGGTTCAGTTTCAGTATCGCTTGTTGCCGTGGTGCCCAGGAGACCCACGACGATGAGTTTGATCAGATGATGGACAAACAGCTCGCAGAAGATGCCTGGTTGGAGAGGTATTCCGTGGTAACCCGTATTTAACCTATTTCAACGTACAGTTCCATATAGAGCCCTTAAAGTTTAACTTAAAGCTGAAAGTTCAGGAGATTAAATGCCACCCGCCGGACCCATAAGGATGAGAGTGCATTTAGTGCGAAAGAGGAAGCTGCGTGGCTTTGCATCTTGGCCTTGCAGCTCTCCCAAGTGAAGGATAGGTCAATAGTCCATTGAAAGTCTATTGTCAATAGGTATCATGCTGCAAGACGACCACGGGAACACCAAACTACAAGTGCGGAATGTTGACACTTGCGCCTTTTTGTACCAGAAATGCAGGTTGGTTTCACGAGAACAACATGGGAGCATTTGCCTTGCGGATGAATTTCCTGACCTTTGTTTTCTCATGTGTGACGCTGGTCGAAGTCTTTCACATGGAGCACATCAGGCTGGTTCTGACTTCTTGATTTCCAGTGGCCCCGAGATTTTCCTCTAGGCTTTCCTCGTTTCATGTCCGTTTTGTTATCGCAGTATGCAGGTCCCCAAAGCCACAGGCAGGTCGAGGCTGCCCCACTTCAGCTTACGCCAGGGCGTTCAGCGAACTCAGCAACAGTTCTTTGGAGAAGGCGGCCATGAAACATGACGTGTTGGGAAAAGTGCCTCCGAAATGGCGACTCTTCTCATTTCTGTTCTTCAGACTTGTAGCTCGGCTGGGTGTGTGGCATGTGACATTCTGTGACATCCTGTGACATCCCGTGACATGGTAACGGCTGCTATAGGTACCATGGCTATCCCTACTGAGGCTGCGTTTCTGATCTGCTTGGTATGGTCTATCCTGGCCAATTCTGGGTCTCTGTGGCTTCGACCCCCTGTCCCGGACTTTGGGAAACTGAACCGGCGGCAATGCGTGGAAGCAGGGAGGCAGAGACGCCAGGTCCAGGTTGCATTGGTCGTCTCCAAGGCGGTCATTTGCACCTCGTCTAAACTCTATGAACAGACAAGCGGGCACCATGCTTCTCATGGAGAGACGGGATGGTTCCTGCCTTTTGAACTTCGTGTCTTAGACAGACGGGCCAGATGCACAACGCTGTGAACTTGCTGCTGAAGCCAAAGTGGCTCCAAATCCTGCAGTGTTTTTGCTGCTTCAGGCATTCTCGTGTGGCTCTCTTACAATGTACTGATCCTGGAGAGGAGGCATCAAAGCTACTCCACAATGCACCGACTGGACTACTACAACCAGCAATTCTCGTGGCCAGGTGGCAAAGGAGTTCCAGGTTGCCAGGGAGTGGTAGATCCCGATCTCAAACCGGGAACTCTCAATATGGCTGGTGATGGCTGGTGATGGCTGGTGATGGCTGGTGATGGCTGGTGATGGCTGGTGTAAAAGTTGTCCTCTGAATTTTCCACGATTTGGGGTTCTACCAAGCATGAGCGCAACCACTCCGAAATCAGGATGGCGAAAGATGAAGAACCTTTTTAGTTTGGTGGACGACTTGATGTGCATCCCACTTGGTAAGTGGACAATAGCCTAGAGAGAGAACCGAGTGCTACATATCTGGGATATAATCAGGGCCGGGCTATTGTCCACCATTTCTGACCTTGTCCATGTTCTTGTCAATGGTTTCCTACCAGGCTGGTCTTCATGATGGCTTTCTTTGTCATCATCAATGGGCAGGTGGTCTTGGGATTTTCCTCCTTAACCTTTGTGGTGCTTGCCATTGCATTCATGGCGTTGCCAGGACGCAATTAAGAGGTGCGTATCGTGTTTGCTGTCTGTTGATAATCTACAGCTAGCAAGAGGGCTAGCTATACACTGTATATCATATATCATATATCACAAATCCTAATAGTGGGTGATCGACATTATATGCCATTTTGATGCCAGCAATATTCTAGCTCCTTTCTTTCATGATTTTCATGGTTTGGCTGTCAACTCCAGCCTCCAGCACCAAACACAAGCAAGACAAGCACAATGTTCGCCCAAACTTTGCCAAAACATGCCAAAACTAAGGATAGAGGACAGGACTCCGCTTTATGTCTCCATGACCGGCAGGGCCTGGTGCTCGGAACTCTCCCCATGCAGTTTTTTCTCTCCCCCTTTAGCCTTTTGGTGTCTTTTAAATCAGTGAAGATGCGAGTTGCGAGTGCCAAGGTGGTCTTTGTGGGTGTCGCTATCTTGGGCAGCATTCTGGCATACGAGGGCGAACGAACCAGCAGAGCCAGCTTCAGATCCAAGGTGAAGGCAGGTCAGGTGGAATCATCACACTGCTTGGGTTTGGGCCCAAACTGGGCAAAGTGGGGTTAACTGTTTAACTTTCATCCTTGGTTGCATTAGACGATGCAGGTTGAAAAGACTGAATCTCGCATTGAAGATGTTTTAACGACCCTGATGCCCAAAGAAGTTCTCAAGGAGTCGCTTGGACTGTCTACGGTCATCATAGATGTCACTTTCTCATTGGTTGGTCATCGACAGGGGGGCAATCCTCCATTAAACAACTGGCAGGTAAAAGGCACGAAATTGCCCCTCTAGTTGGTCAAATGGACATCATTTGTTTGACTTTGTTCATGATTACTTTCTTTCACCAAATTGGTGCACCACTGTGACCGTGCAATTTCGTGTCTAAGGTGGCGTGATTTGGCGGCAATCAGAGGTGTTGTCAAAAGCTCCTCCGAAACCGCGCTAAATGATTAGCATTCTCAAGCACCATGAATATCAGTTGAATATCCATGAATAGCCAAGAAACATCAAGAAACTATTCAACTGCACACCTTCGAAAAGCATTAGCTTTTCGCGGCTTTTCGTGTGGAAACCTTGGTTTTCCAAGGTGCAAATCCTGGGACGCATCCTGTGCACGTGTACAAGCACGCCACCGTCACCCAGTCAGATCTCTGCGGCTTCACGCAGCTCTCGTCGGGGAGGTGACCGCTGTGACAGTTGGAATCGTTCGCATCATTGTATGATATAATTTGATGTAACAGTAACGTATTATGTTATACTATGTTATATTATACAACTATTAATTCTGTTTTATGTATTTTTTAATGTTATATTTATATTAAATCATATTATGTTATAGTTATATTGTATTATTTTCATATTTCGTCGCTTCTATTGGAACATCCTAATTTTTTGGGTCAAAGTGGCCTGCGCAAGTCGCAGCACTGTGGAGGTCGCCATTTGAGGTGGTGAGCTTCATGGGAGAACTCTTTGGAAGGCCTGGAAAGCGATGGGGAAAACCTTCAGCTGATTTTCTGTGGTGAAAAATGTGCAGGTTTGATGTTCTGGCGCAAGAGTTCAATATCTACAAGGTCGAAACTGTCTCTTGGAATGACGAATTAGTCCACGGTTTTTCCAGGCAAAAAAAGGGAGGTTTGTGGTTTGTTTCAGCCGTTTCAGCTGTTACTTTCTGGTCATTTTCTCCGATTCATCCAGGTGGGAGACGCTTACATAGCTGGAATGGCTGAGCCATATTTGACTGACCAACACTCTGCAGTGAGAGTGGTGGAATTTGGCCTGGCCATGATCAAGGCGCTAGAACGCTTCACTGATGAAGATGGGGTTCACAGCTCCTTAGATACTTATTTCACTTATACATGCTATAGTATATATAGATATATCTATATATTTATACTGATTATCATATTAGTTATCCTTTTTCCATCCGACAGAGAACTTGCAAAGATTTGGAATGGATTGAGCACTTGGCGAGGCCACAGCAAAATGGTCTGAAAGGCTGCGACAGAGAGGTGAGGCCTACAAAGATGCAAACGTCCGGTGTCGAGTTGGATGGGCTCTCAGCACAAAATAATACTATAGAAAACGGTTGGTTCATGAGGTATTTTCTATGGCTTTCAACTGCTGAGGTGTGCATCATGGTGAATGTGTAGGTGGCATCGTGGGTTCAGTTCTCAGTCAGATTTGCCTTTTGATTCTTTGCTGCTAGTGGGAGCCTGCTGGGGACCAGGCACTGGCATGATGCGGTACCACCTCTTTGGTGAGTTTATGAGTATTGTGGACATCCTCGAAGCGACGTCAAAAGAAGGCGTTTGCCAAATCAGCGATGCTTGCAGGACCGTTGCCAAATGCTGCCAACTGATGCAGACTGGCATACAAAGTTGGGTCATTTCAGCCTGTTTGAGCAACCCTCAGGAAGCAGATTGAAAGCGAGGGCGGCTTCTCAAACTCCATACAGTTTGAAGCCCCTTGGCTCAATCCTGTTGGTCACGGCACCGTGTCGAATAAAGTTTTCTTGGAAGCAAAGCTCTTATGCTTAAGGAGCGCAAAGATGAACTAAAGACGTCGAAGGGGGAAGTGCACGGCACGGACGAAGTTGGTCTCTTGACGCAACAAGATGTGACTGGTGACACTGTTTGTTCTTAAGTCTACAGACGCTAAGACGCTGGAGTGGGTTCGCTCAAAATTGTTAGCCCCCGAAACGGATGATGAAATAGAACAAAGTGATAACTCTTTGCTCAGGGTCCACTGGTGCCATTTTTGAAACATATATAATTCTATATAAACAAGGCTGGAGATCAGAAAATCCAGAAACGGCTCAGCACTTTTTCAGCTAGCCTTCCCGGCTACCCTTGATGCTTGATGCAGCGAGCTTGCTGTTGAGGTGGAACGACGTTCCTCGTGTACCCTGCCGGAGGGCCTGGGCATTGCAATGGTTGAGGAAAGAATTTGGGAAAGCGAAAGATGTGACGCTTTCCGTTGACTGGAGGTGATTACGGAAGACCGTGCTTGGCTTAGTTCCACGGAGCAACAGTTGCTGTTTTCCCTGCTTTGGCTTCATGTTGACGCTCCAAGGTGTGCGAAACTTGGAAGAAGGCTTGTCTGAGCTGCAAAAGAAGGTAAAAGATCTTGAGCTCAGGACCTGCTGCCTGATTGGGATGTCACGATGTCCGATCTTCATTGCCTGTTTGGGGTCTGGGGTACAAAAGTTACAATCCCATGTTTGCACGATAGAACCATAGAGAATGTGATTTCGGCCCTGGATCCAAGAACCATGTCATCCCAAATTTCAAGCTGCGGCAGAATAACCGGATGTTTCACAAAAAGGTGAAACTCTGATACTTGTGATCTTGAGTTCGAGTGAAGGACTTCAGGGGAACAAGATGATGAGTGATGAGGAGAGGGGCTAAGCGAGGTGGGGTGGAATGACAGTCGGATATGAAAACAGAAAGTAAGTAGAGCATGATCAAATGCTTCCGCAAAGTTTTCTCATTGGGACAGGGAAATATCAGAAATCTTGCCGGGACGGAACGGCAGAAACAACACATGGAAGGGAATTCACGTCGTAAGCGCCAGGAGCCCAAAATGATGAATCTGCGAGCGCAAGAGGCTTGCAGACAAGGTGGGAGCAACTCTGAACAAACTGCTGTTCCAAATTATTTTAGCAAGCTCCTCGCTGCATTGTGCATGCACTCTCTGCATTCTATATAGCTATTCCAGCACAATAGAGCCAACGCAAGTCCGACGCATCACTTCAACGTGCAGCACAGTAACAAAAGTAACATCATGTCTAGTCTACTCTTTGTCCACCACCTTCAGCAAGGTAGGTGCAATCCAATTCATTTCACATCATTTCGCAATTTTGACAGAAATTGGTTTGTTTGAAAATGGAAGACCCCTACATCCCATTGTTTATCATAAGTCTCCCAATTGAAATGGCCATTTGGGGACACCATTTTTAGACACCCAAATCTGCCCTCGTTGTGCCCGCCAAATGCCAGCGCTGATCGCATCCCTTGTGATTCTTCAAGCTGCGGCTGCGGCTGAGAATCTGGACGCAACTCCCGAGGGGAGCAAAGCGACCCAGATTCGCCCATGGTACAGAGTTTATGAGCCTTGCTTCAATCATCTCATCCGCACACACATTAATAATATATATACATATATAAATTATATATATATATGTACACATACATACACACTAGATATGCTATAAGCGTGAATTGAATTATGAACGAGCGAATGAATCAACAAGTATTGTAATTTCGAGAGCGAGAGGGGAGGGAGGGAGAGAGAGAGAGAGAGAGAGATGGAGAGACGTTTGCATCTAAGCATGGGCTTCATACGCATTAGCCTCTGTACAAGAAGATACGTGGTTGATCTAAAAGTTCCTTGCAAAGAATTAAAGTGCGAAGACCGTTGAAGTTATGCTTCGAACCCTCGCCGATTTTTTTTGCGTTCGCGAACTATTTTGAACAAGTTCCGCGAAAGTTTGAAGTGACTGATAATTGTGCCCATATATAAATATAGCTTTTTTTTATAAAATATATATATATATATACTCACAGATTATATAGGGATATTTTCGCGAAAGTTCCACAAAAGTTACGCGAAGGAGCGGGCGGAATTGAGAGTGCATTTTTGAAGCGGGTGGCCCAGTAAGCTTTACACACATGATCCAAATATAAATATATATATATTTATTTATTTATTTATTTGTCTATTAATATAGACCCAAGAAGCAACAACGTGTCCTGAGAAGGGAAACTGGGGTGCTAGCCTAGCTGCATATTTACAAGGCTATCGAGAAGTAATCTATGACAATTTGGTAGGTAGTGACTGAGTCTTCATGAGAGGCATGGTTGCCCCACATGGGTCCTCCGAAAGATAAATATAGAGCTCTCGAAAGTTTCGCAAGAGTATACTTTCATTCTATTTGCGGAGAATGGTTGTTTGCGGGGAGGAAGGAATTTGGATCAACCACTACTTGCACACGTACACGCACATCAAAACCTAGGGTGCATGCCCAGTTCCTTCAGATTCCAAAACAATCTAATTGTTGCCTCAAAGGACCTTCCCATACGTTGAAATATTATGTGGGCCCGGGAATCTTCCAACAGGAGAGCAACCTGAAGAACATGATATTCTTCGCTTTGAGCTTCATCGTTGTTGCTGGATTCCTTGGAGACAAGTACTACGAATATGTCCGGCACAAGAAGCGCGATCGAGATAAGACAAAGAAGGAGGACAAGGGAAGCAAACAGGAGATGTGGGCAGATCCCGATCGCCAGGCAGTCTTAACGGAAGCAGTCCGACAAGTGGTCCAAAGAAAGACCCCAGAGCCAAGCGCCTAAGCGAAATCAGCGAAGAAACCTGCCACCGCGACATCGCCACGGTGGGGCCATGGCAGAAACGGCAGCGTTGCCGGCGACGCCACAGCGCCACGAGATCAGCTGACGCTAGCGGCGTGCAAAAAAGTATTGTCCTTGTGCGCAGAGATCATCAGAGATCATCAGAGCATTCAAATGAATTCAACTTGATGTTCCTTGGCTTTGCAATGCAAATCTGTGCAGGTCAATCCTTGGCCGAACACCTTTAGGATCTTTAGAACTGCTTCGCGGAGTGCAAAAGATGTATATAGCGTGCGCAGCGTGTCTGAAAGACAATTGGACCACAGTGACAGCAAGGTCTAGAGTCATCAGCCCTTGCATGCTAAAGGTGGCTGTTTGAATGTATGCTCCTGACACTTTGCACATGTCGTTTCCGGATTTGGCTCAGTCCCTGTAATATATTGACTTGACCATAACATGCCAGCCATGGTTGGCACGAGGCGGAGAGGAACTGAGGCCGCGCCCCAGGGATCTCTAGGGTGCAGTTTGAGGTAGCACTTGTATTGGTAGGCCTCCCCAGAGCCAACAGATTTGTTTTGTGCAAGAGTTTGCCATGCATTTTGCACATTTTGCTTGGGTGAGTGCCCAGTTTTCCATCGTTTTCCACCAGACCCGCACGCACTGGTTGTGGTTTGAAGCGTGCCAGGTGCGTGGGGGCTGGTTGGCATTGGTGCTGGCAGGTGGGAGAACCCAACCCCCAAAGGCAGGACATGTACGTAGGCTATCGTAGGCTGGATTGGCAAAATGCCGATTGGTAAAATTCCGAAGCATTTGAGTTTGCCGAACAAGAGTTGCAGTGCCGGTAAAACAGTCAGGAAGAAAACTGCAATCGGGAGATTCATACAAGTGGTGCCAATAAGTTTTTCTTCCACGTTTGTTGATTCCCAGTGCGCCACCACTTGCAGTTTGATGTGCCTCGCAGGAGTGGCATGTTGCAGTACGGGGCAGCTCTGCTGGATTGCAGGTGTGGCGGGGTTGATTCCACACCAAGCTTCAGCATCATGCGCAGTTGCTCAATGTCCCATTTTCATCCATATTAGGGCTTCAAACATCACCTTTCAATCCTTTAGTGCAAGCCCAAAAAACATAGAAATGTCATCAACCACTATTCTAGAAGTTTTTCTTGTTTGGGTGGGTGGGAAGTGCTGTAGATGGTTCATGAGTTCATGAAGATGATACCCCTGGTTCGGGTCGACTTGCCGAGGTGGCAGGCGTGAGCTGATCGCTGGAGCTGTGGCTGGAGCCTCACCATTTTCTGCGGTAAACCAGTCATCTCAAGATAGCTGAGCAGAGGCAGCAGAGGATGTTTCGTGCAAAACACCCTGAGGCGGGTGGCATATTTGCCCCAACCGCTGCGAATGCCTTCCAAAATGCCGTCTACCAGGCGCTGGGCCCCTGAGAGTCCCTTCCAGTGTCTGGGCTGATGTAACCAGGTGGAGCGTTCGCTGAATGATGCCAAAAAGCCTGGCCCACAACCACCCGACCTGGGACTTCTGGAGAGGTAGGGATCCTGGGTGCGATTCAGCTACAGCAGCTACAGCAGCTACAGCAGCTACAGCTCAAGCTGTTCTGTCAATTTTCAATCTGGTTCGCAGGGAGTATCTGGTCAATCCTGCAGACACTTTGGACAAGAGTATGCTTGAAAAGAAGGGTGAGTCGGGTTGCAAGCTCAGCCGGCTCAGCCTTGGACTTTTCGCTCAGTGCTTGGGCTAGAGCAACTTCCATGCAGTGCCTCACCTGAGGGATCCTCAAAGAGTGTGGGCCGAGGGCGCCAAGACCTGAGATGACATGTCCCGACACGGCATGCGTCGTCATGCATCCATCTTGTCCATACAAACTCAGGAATTGTTTCTCCACCACCTACACAGACGTTGTGGACAAAGGCTTCCATGACTTGACGCCATGGCGTTGGGGGCTTGGAAATTGCGGAACTTGCGACAGATTCCTGTAGGGTTTGAAGTTCCGTGATGGAAATTGATGGAAACATGCAAAGATTGCCAAGGCTTCAAGGGCAAAACTCCTGACCAAGCAATGCAGGAGGTGCGCAAGTGATCATAGTGATCTGAGTGGAGTTGGTGGAGTTGGTGGAGTGGTTGGTAAATGGTGAGACGATCATGTCAGGTCGCCGATGTCATCGCTGCCTATCCACCAGGGCAGAGTGGCATTGATGGAGGAGGATACAAAGTGACGCAGATTGAGCCCAACTATTTGCCCTTTGTCAACAACTGATTGGCTCAACAGATCTCAACACAGTTGTCCTTCTTTGATAGGACACATACTTCTAGTTCGTATGACTCCGTGCCTGAACATTTGCAACGACGAATCTTCAGATATGTTTATATAGACATCTTCAGCTCACGGCTCTGAGGTACATCATTTTCGAGAGCCTTAAGAGGCGGCATTCGGCAGCTATTCATCTTAGATTCATCTTGTTCTGTTGCGAGCGTCCTGGTTGGGGTGGGCTTGGCCAGGGGCCACCGCGACGATGTGGAATTTGCTGCTTGCCTGAATGTTGGAGTCTGGCGTGAAGTGCTGAACATGCGCTTCAGCAAGGACACAGTTTTTCGAGATTTTTCAAGTCATCTATTTATCAATCAATCTATCTATCTATTTATCTATCTCTGAATCTCTCTCTCTCTCTCTATCATTAAATAAATAAATAAATATATATATATATAAATATCTATACATATAGATATAAAAACACATACATACATGCATACACGCATACATACATACATGCATACACGCATACATGCATACATGCATACATGCATACATGCATACATGCATACATGCATACATGCATACATGCATACATACATACATGCATCCATGCATCCATGCATACATGCATACATGCATACATGCATACATGCATACATGCATACATGCATACATGCATGCATGCATGCATTCATACATGCATACATACATGCATACATACATGCATACATACATACATACATACATACATACATACATATATGCATACATGCATACATACATACATACATACTGAAGAGTCTGAAGATCCAGGCAGTGATCCCTGGAACCCCGAACGATGCCCGAGAAGGTGGGCTTTATGTGCGGAGTGCGAGCCGACAGGCCCGGGGAGTTTTTCAACACAGCGACGTCAGAAGAGCTTTGATTCGTTTTTTTTTTTTCCCTCCTCTGTTTGGATATAATAATGATGTAATCCAGATGAACTATTATATCAATCCAGCAGATATTTATTATATCAATCATTATAATGTGTGGTTTCTGAAATGATGCTTTTTTTCCCTTTTCGATGTGTTGTTGGTTCTTTCTGTCAAGATTTGAAAGGAAACCACGACGCCCCTTCTGCAGGGAACCTATGACTTTGGAGTGAATGCCGTCCGCCTCAACAGAATTGCCAAGGACCAACATGCAATTCACATGTGCACATCGAAGCAGAAACATGATGTTGGAGGACTTGATGGCCAAAGGCGGCTGGGATATTCGCATGATCGACACTTGGCCGGAATGAGCCAAGCCTTTTTTGATCTCAAAAGCTCTAAGCCAAAAAGTGTGCCAAAAAAACATGAATTGTAGAGGATTGTAGACAATGTTGCCGATCTTTGCAGAAGCTCACCTTCAGGATGCCAAAACACATCCACGGTACTGGAGTGCGCCTGGCGGATTGACGGAATTGCATTGCTTCCTGCTTTTTCATCCCACTATTCCCACGGACTCTGGAGGTCAGAACTGCTTTGGAGGTGACATGGGACGCAAAGCTCCAATCGTTGTGAGGAAACAGCGGCTCGGGGCAACAAAAAACATAAAAACCACGTTTACCACTTGGCTTCGGATGTTTTTGAATCGGTTTGATGGCGTCTCCACCATTGATGTCCCGGCCTGCAGCTGCCCAGGTTCCCAGAATTTTGCAAGGAGTTTCCTCCTCGCGAGCCTTAGTGGCTTTGTACAGAAGGGTGGTGAAATTGTGATTTTCTCAAGGAGGCCGCAATGGAGTGCATAAAGACTTGCACTGAGACCCCTTGACATCCGATAGCAGCTCAACTATTCTTGAGCAAATCATATGATGCGCGTTGACACGGCCTGCGCCAGTAAGATTTGAAGCTGGCAACCAGACTGGGACAGGCTCGTACATTTTCGGATATGGTTTCGAAGTAGCAGAGTCGCAGTTAAAAGGGAGCCGCTCTCCATGAAGGATGACATCACAGCTGTTTGCAGCTCACTTCCTGAAATAGACTTAGCTTAGCTTGCAACGGTTGGGGTGGTAGCGCCGCCATTTCTCCGCAACACTTGGGCTCACGTGAAAGCTGAGTACTTGTAGCTGCACCATTCATGCAAGGCACTTCCTTTCTTTTGCTTGACACATCCAGTCATGGCTGAAGTTATGAAGTCCCTCATTGAGATGTTTCAAGGTCTTTGAACCAGAACGAGACAGACCGAGACTTCACAAGCCTCTGTCGTTTTCAAAGGAGAAGCATGCACACACACACACAAAGCAAGCTCTCGCTTCAACAGCGGCATATAGCCGCAGCCCCAGCTTGTGATAGCGTGACCATGATGCCATGTATGAGATCTTCAATCTCAAGTACTTCTGCCTGGGCGAAGCCGAAGACACTTCGGAGGAACTGGACATCGCAGAGCTCAGGCGTCACGGAATGGCCCCCCATCAACTCCCATCAACTTGGGTGGAGAGCAGCTGTTTGAAAATCCTTTGAAGACCTCGGCTTACAGCACTTCAGATCAGAGGGCATCAACATACATCAGCCATCGCGCGCTTAAGTGCCACTGCCGCAGGTCCACGACTTCCAAAGAGTCCAAGGTGTCCAAGGTGTCCAATGTGTCCAACGTTCCACCTCAGGAAGCCAGCAGCTCTAGCAGTCGCTTGACTCAGTGAGTTTTTCTATATTCCTAAAGATCTAAAGGGTCCTGGAGGTTGCGTTGCTGGTGTGGATTGGGTTTGGGATGTTTGGGTGGAGGACAGAGCCAAACCCGCAGACCTTGCAGGGTTTTGCGGGAAGTTTTTTCGTTCTCACCATTGATCCAAGGCTCAAGCGGCGATGACGCACGAGAAGGAGCACCTGGCTTCCACTTGGTAGCTTGTCTCTATCTCTGCCAGTCAACGGTTTCCAGACAAACAGATGGCTTGAGGTTTTTGAGGGGGGATGTGGTATGGACAATGCACCGAATGCACCCCACATGTTAGCACCTGTTAGTGTTTGTCAGTGCCCTTTTGTCCTCAACCCCGTCAATTTCATGTGAGCATGAACGCATTCTGGCAAAACACTTTCATCCCTTCCTTCTCCCCTTCCTGCGCCCTCAATGCACATCAAATCACATTGAAACTGAAGCTCCACAATCCTTTGAGTGTTTGCATGCCACAGTGCTGCTACTTGCTGTGTATGTTTCAGTGCGGGTTGGTCATTGCCCATCTGTTTCAGCACCGCACTCCAAGACACACCTACGTCGACTTGTAAGACAGCGCGCCAGCACTTCACTGGAGAATCCACTGGATGAAGGCGACCGTTTGAAGCATCCCATCCGTGTGCAACGGAGCTGTACCGATGTGGCGTGGCTGGGGTGCTTTGTGGCCTGCATCACCGCTCTATCAGTCTTAAGCTTCGCCGTGAGGACCAGCCTAGGGATCTTACTGACGTGCCATTGGGATCGATTGGGCCTTTTCTGCAGACATTGGCCATCTCATTTTGCAATAAACTTCATTCAATGAACAGCCCATCCATGTTAATACCTTTTTCGGAAACAAGCCAAGAAATTCTCATGAACAGTTTCAAGACTCGTATGACATACGCGCTCACTGTGGAATCACACAAGCACTTGCCAGGATGCCCGGACAAGCTGAGAGTCTTCCAACTCTTGTGGCTGTGCATGACTCCCTGGCGCACACCTGCGGTGTTGAGCAAATGAGACACCAACCTTTTGCGACGACCTCAGCCCATTCTTCATTGAGAAGTGGGATGACTGGTTGATCCAGGGGTTTCAGAGCTGTCTTGCTGGCACCTTGGTGCTTCATATGCAGTAGCTGACAGTCTCGGGTGTGCTGACCACCTAGGCCTTCATATGCAAAGACGATGGAGGGAATCTTAACTTCACGGATATACTTTGAAGCTTGGCTTGTGATCAGAATTATTGACACAAGCATGTCACCAATGTCCAGCTTTGTCCTTGACATCAACTTGACATTCTGACCTCTTTGGCCTCGAGGCGTCAAACCTGTCGCCCGTTTCTATTTGGTATCCTGAGGCTTGAGCAGCTGCCCAACCAACAACTCGGGACAAATGTGTGGGGCACTCGGAAGCAGGCACCAAGCGGAATCCAAGCCTTTGCCGCCCGAGGCTGGAGCAATACCACCCAGTCTTTTGCGGAGGTTTGTGGCAACGTGGTGAGCGCTTTTTGCTGACTGCTTTGGACATTTTTGGACATCTAGACCCTGATTTGCCTTCTACTTAGTACATCATAGCACTTCTACTATCACATATTTGGGGCGCGAGATTTCACACGTGGACGGAGGTGGCTGGATATGCAACAAAACCTGCAATACCGCACATATTGGCATGGTGCAGGCGAGTGTATTTTGCGTGTTTTGAGTATCGGGAATCGGTAGTCTTAGTCTGACATAGTCTGACTGCCTGGCTCTAGACTGGAGAAAAGGCCAGTGGACAATTTCCTGTATGTCTTGGTGCTGGAATATGCGAACAAAGTGCTTTGGCGTCCATTGGGAAGTCGGTTTTTGTGCGAAGTCCAGTCTAGGTTGTGGATGCTTGCCACAGACATGAAGACTAAATGAGCAGATTCACTCTGCAGTCTTGTCTATAAATCTGCTGGCCACAGCTATCATCGTGTAAGAAAAAAGAACGGTGTAATGTGGATAAAACGATATTAAACTACCCATTTGGGAATGGTCTATACCTGTAAAAATTGTGATTTGGGGATGCTTTATGGCATTGTTTTACCGACTGGATTTGTCAGGTATGGGGCATCCTGAGCGTTGGCTACACCATGTTAATGTTTTGGCGCCTGTCGGTGCCCGTCCTTGTCACTGCTGTGGCTGGGCTGTTCCTCTCCTTGTGCCACTCGACACGCAAAGGTCGAAAGAGGAACGGGGAAGAACTGCGACCAAGATATACGTGTTTAAATGTAAATATAAATGAATGGATGGATGGATAGATAGTTAGATAGATAGATAGATAGATAGATAGATATAAATAAATAAATAAATGAACACATATACAAACAGAATAAAAAAGACAAGTAAATGAATAGAGGAATAACTCAATAAATAGATAGATAGATAGATAGATAGATAGATAGATAAAAGAAACAACAAATATGAATGCGACCACGGCATTATCAGCGATTGGCACAGTGACCAACCCCGCGACGCCAACAGGATCATAGAAAGGGGTTTTTAGGAGGCAAGACTTCGGCGGTGAGTTTCGAGCCTGATTTGATGAGCTGAGGCTATGTCGCATTGCTCAAGGCCAGGCCCTCAGCGTCCCTCAGCCATGGTCATCTCATGTCATCTCTTAACATGTCCAAGCTCTTCAGTCACTTCGCAACTCTTCGAAAGTTCCACTTGGAACTTTGGCTAATTTGGCTAAGGACTACGCTCAGACCTTGTCCAAACTTGGGATCCAGTTGATTGTTCTCGAACCTTGCCTTGCACTGGAGTTGTTTGTTGTCTTATATACATTTCGAAACATTTCATTCATTTATTCAAGTTCTTCACAAGACATGCGAACTTGATTCGGGCCCACGCTTGAAAGGTTCCCTTTGGATGGGCGGCTTATTTGTGGTACGAACATGGAAATGCAGAGGCCTCAGGATTAAGCTGCGATGAAATGATCAGCATAGAGCGAAGAAGGATAAAGGCCTGGTCCAGAATGCTACACAAAGGGAGACGCGTGCGTTGTTCTTGCACCCACCATCCTCCTAGAAGATGTACGTATGATGATGTGCAGTACAGCGGCGTAATGTATAGTATCAGAATACACAAATGTTTGACATTGTTTTACCCAATTTCTTTTTATCCAGGACGCAATGTTGCCATGTGTTGCTCTACTTGTAGTGGGCCTGGATCTCAGATCCTGCGTTCAGCTTGGAAGTACATGCATGCATGCACACATAGCTATGTACGTACACACGTACACGCGTACATACGTACATCGTACATACATACATACCTACATACGTACATACGTACATACGTACATACGTACATAAGTACATACGTACATACGTACATCCACACATCAATACAATACATCAATACATCAATACATCAATACATCAATACATCAACACATCAACACATCAATAAATCAACACATCAATACATCAATACATCAATACATCAATACATCAATACATCAAAACACCAACACATCAACACATCAACACATCAACACATCAATACATCAATACATCAATACATCAATACATCAATACATCAATACATCAACACATCAACACATCAATACATCAATACATCAATGCATCAATACATGAATACATACATACATACATACATACCAGTACATACATCCATCCATCCATCCATCCATCAATCCATCCATCCATCCATCCATACATACATACATACACACACACATACATACATACATGCACATACATACATACCAGCACATACATACATACCAGCACATACATACCTACATACCTACATACATACCTACATACATACATACATACATACATACCAGCACATACATACATACCAGCACATACATACATACCAGCACATACATACATACCAGCACATACATACATACCAGCACATACATACATACCAGCACATACATACATACATACATACATGCATGCATGCATGCATGCATGCATACATACCAGCACATACCAGCACATACCAGCACATACCAGCACATACCAGCACATACCAGCACATACCAGCACATACCAGCACATACCAGCACATACCAGCACATACCAGCACATACATACATACATACAGACAGACAGACAGACATACATACATACAGACACACACACACATACATGCATACATGCATGCATGCATGCATGCATGCATACCAGTGCATACATACCAGTACATACATACCAGTACATACATACCAGTACATACATACATACCAGTACCTACATACCAGTACCTACATACCAGTACCTACATACCAGTACCTACATACCAGTACATACATACCAGTACATGTAGTACATACATACCAGTACATAGTACATACATACCAGTACATACATACCAGTACATACATACCAGTACATACATACCAGTAGATACCAGTACATACCAGTACATACCAGTACATACATACATACAAACATACATACCTACGTACGTTCGTACGTACGTACGTACGTACGTACATACGTACATACGTACATACGTACATACGTACATACGTACATACGTACATACGTACATACGTACATACGTACATACATACATACATACATACATACATACATACATACAGACACACACACATACACACATACATACATACATACATACATACATACATACATACATACATACATACATACATACATACCAGCACATACATACATACCAGCACATACATACATACCAGCACGTACATACATACCAGCACGTACATACATACCAGCACATACATACATACCAGCACATACATACATACCAGCACATACATACATACCAGCACATACATACATACCAGCACATACATACATACCAGCACATACATACATACCAGCACATACATACATACCAGCACATACATACATACCAGCACATACATACATACCAGCACATACCGGCACATACATACCAGCACATACCGGCACATACATACCAGCACATACCGGCACATACATACCAGCACATACCGGCACATACATACCAGCACATACCGGCACATACATACCAGCACATACCGGCACATACATACCAGCACATATCGGCACATACATACCCACATACCGGCACATACATACCAGCACATACCGGCACATACATACCAGCACATACATACCAGCACATACCGCACATACATACATACATACATGCATGCATACATACATACATCCATACCATACCATACATACATCCATACATCCATACATACATACATACATACTACATACATACATGCACATACATACATACCAGCACATACATACATACCAGCACATACATACACATACCTACATACCTACATACCTACATACATACATACATACCATACATACCAGCACATACATACATACATACAGCACATACATACATACCAGCACATACATACATACCAGCACATACATACATACCAGCACATACATACATACCAGCACATACATACATACCAGCACATACATACATACATACATACATATATACACACACACGCATACATACATACGTACGTACGTACGTACGTACGTACGTACGTACGTACGTACACATATACACATATACACATATACACATATACATACATACATACAGACAGACAGACAGACAGACATACATTACATTACATTACACTTACATTACATTACATTACATTACATTACATTACATACAGACATACATACATACATTACATACATACATACATTACATACATACATTACATACATACATTACATACATACATTACATACATACTTACATTACATTACATTACATTACATTAATACATTAATACATTAATACATACATACATACAATTACATACATACATACATACATACAAACAAACAAACAAAGAAACAAACAAACAAACAAACAAACAAACAAAGAAACAAACAAACAAACAAACAAGCAAACAAACAAACAAACAAACAAAACAAACAAACATAACAAACATAACAAACATAACAAACATAACAAACATAACAAAAATAACAAACATAACAAACATAACAAACATAACAAACATAACAAACATAACAAACATAACAAACATAACAAACATAACAAACATAACAAACATAACAAACATAACAAACATAACAAACATAACAAACATAACAAACATAACAAACATAACAAACCTACAAACATAAAAACATAACAAACATAACAAACATAAACAGAACATAACAAACATGAAAAAACAAACATAACCAAACATCCAAACATACAAAACATAACAAACATAACAAACATAACAACAAACAAACAAACTTTAACAACATACAAACCTAACAAGGAAACAAATAAACACAAACACACCACACCCATACATACATACATACTACATCCATTACATACCTTCCATACCATTTACATACCATACATCCCATTCAATACCATACTACCATTACAATACCATTACATACCATTACTACCATTACATACCATTACATACCATTACTACCATTACCCATTACATACCAGTACATACCAGTACATACCAGTACATACCATTGCATTACATTACATACATACCAGCACATACATACATACCAGCACATACATACATACCAGCACATACATACATACCAGCACATACATACATACCAGCACATACATACATACCAGCACATACATACATACCAGCACATACATACATACCAGCACATACATACATACATACCAGCACATACATACATACATACCAGCACATACATACATACCAGCACATACATACATACATACCAGCACATACATACATACCAGCACATAAATACATACCAGCACATACATACATACCAGCACATACATACATACCAGCACATACATACATACCAGCACATACATACATACCAGCACATACATACATACCGGCACATACATACATACCAGCACATACATACATACCAGCACATGCATACATACCAGCACATACATACATACCAGCACATGCATACATACCAGCACATACATACATACCAGCACATACATACATACCAGCACATACATACATACCAGCACATACATACATACCAGCACATACATACATACCAGCACATACATACATACCAGCACATACATACATACCAGCACATACATACATACCAGCACATACATACATACCAGCACATACATACATACATACCAGCACATACATACATACCAGCACATACATACATACCAGCACATACCGGCACATACTGGCACATACCGGCACATACCGGCACATACATACATACCGGCACATACATACCAGCACATACATACCGGCACATACATACATAAATACATACATACATACCTACATACCTACATACCTACATACCTACATACCTACATACCTACATACCTAGATACATACATACATACCAGCACATACATACATACCAGCACATACATACATACCAGCACATACATACATACCAGCACATACATACATACCAGCACATACCGGCACATACTGGCACATACCGGCACATACCGGCACATACATACATACCGGCACATACATACCAGCACATACATACCGGCACATACATACATAAATACATACATACATACCTACATACCTACATACCTACATACCTACATACCTACATACCTACATACCTAGATACCTAGATACCTAGATACCTAGATACCTACATACCTACATACCTACATACCTACATACCTACATACCTACATACCTACATACCTACATACCTACATGCCTACATACCTACATACCTATATACCTACATACCTACATACCTACATACCTACAGCACATACACGTATACATACACACACACACATATATATATATATATGTACATACATGCACACACACACACATAGACACATATCCATATCGATGTTCATATGCATATGCATATTCATATTCATATGCAGACATACGCATTTATACAAGGATATAGTTTACTGTATGTAGGTATAGAGATGCACCAAAAAGGTGCTCGAAGAGATGCCAACAGCAACGGAGGCAACAACATGGAAAAAATAATGCCAAAATTGGGCTTGCCTTCATTTTGTTCCAGGATTCATAGGAATGGTAGATGCTGAACTTGGTGCTCAGGTATTTGTGTCGCATGTTGTGCATGCAGCCGCATGCATGAGTTTGACAGAGCTGCCACCTGTATCAAGTTGTGTGGCACCCAGACCTTCCTGTGATGTGCCCCCCAATTGTAAACATTTCTTTTCAACCAATTACCTGGTGGATGCTTGTAACATCTTGCATTTGGATATGCGAGATCACTGGTGGCAGTTGTTTGTTACTTAAATTCAACATCAACATCCATGGCACATCGTTTCCAAGAGCAGGTCGTGTAGCTGCGTGCTCCAGACGCCCATGTTGCATTTTGGCCCTTGTGTGGTGTTGCTGCTTCTTGGATCGTGAAAGGATTGGACGCGCTGGGAAAGCAGACATCACTGGGTCATGTTGGGTAAATCTAGCATCAGAAACCATGGCTTTTAAACATTCAACATGGGTGTTTCCCGTAATTCTTCGGTTAAGCTTCTTCTTGGGGACAAGCTTTCCGACAGAGATGCGGTGGTGTGTGTGTGTGTGCGTGTGCGTGTGTAGTTCTCGCAGAAGCAGGTTCAGAGTGGCTTCGTCCCTTGCCGTGCTTTGTTGCCTCATAACGGCGCACACAGGCAGAATCCGGACCGATCTGCAAACGTACTTGTTGCAAGGTTAAACACATTGCATCCCATCGATCAATGTCAATCATCTACTAGCATCTCCAGTTGTTCGTTAAATCCAATTAAAAACCCCATGAAATCCCGATGAAACCCATCAAAATTCACCCAAACCATGGTGGTTGCTGGCTGCGATGTTTTTGGAGGCATCTTCCTTGATTTCTTTGAGCACGGCTCTGCCATGGTACGCTGCTCTATCGAGCAGCGGGAGGAGTGCCTTTGGGATGCGGCACTCTTTGCGTTGTGGAACATTACCTGGATTTGGCACCTTGGCTGCGCGTTCTGGTGCAGTCTCCTGTATTTGGGTCTCAGTGCGAAGCAGTCACAGCTGTCAGCAGCTGTCAGCAGCTGTCAGCAGCTGTCAGCAGGATTCAGATCCTCTTCACCGCCAGCTGGGAATTTGCTGTGGCATATCTTGCTGCAGCTTCTCGATGGCAGTGGCGTTGTGTAGGCCGGGGGGAAGGCCTGGCAGCTGGGCAGCGTGCGCGGAGCCAAGGAATGGTACCTGGAAGGTGGCTTTCATGAAGAGAATCACTTTCAGAAAGGCAAGATTGGGCTGATCCAGTGCTGCAGACAATGCCATGTCTGGTGGGTGCCTGGGCACTCAAAAAGTGCTGGGTTTGCAGGGAGCAAAGTCAGTTCTGATGACTCCCGTGTCTTCGCTGACCTTTGAGGCATTATTCCGATATCACTTCGGAACCATGGTCAAAGCTTCTGTATTCATTGGTACCTTTGGCATTTGTATCACGTGCAGACGCTGCAATAAAAAGCGAGCATCGCAATCTGACTACTAGTTACTAGTGACCATGCCGTGCAGACGAAGCGACGCAGCGAGGCATTCTGCGGCCAGTTCGCTTCGTCCTGGGCAGCTTGACAGCTGTCGTTGCTCGGCTATCCGGAAGTTTGCAGGGAGCTACGGGGCTGTGGGTATCCATACTCCATATGAAATGGGGTGCCGGGTGCCAACCAAATGAGAGGCTGCTCTCTCCAAGGCGCGGATTGAAGCTAACCCAGTGGCAGGCATCATTCTCTGCTGCTGTGGCTGTCTCGTGGACGTGTACGAGCAATATTTCGAACGACTCTCAGCCAATGCCTATATCGAGGCGCTGTGGCAGTGCCATTTGGCAGTGACCCCATGGTGACCCGATGGTGACCCTTTGCAGTTGATTGTTGGCAGTTGCATAGGATACATCAACCAAGAAATGAATGAAGACATCAATTACAAAAAAGATGAGTCATTGACGACTAGATCAACAAGAAAATTGCTTAGTAGATAAATGTATACGCATATGTACATGTACATGTGCACATTCAAGGGCACATGAAAATGCATATGCATATCAGCATAGCCAAGAATGGGGATCATTGACACCAAGAAATTGGAACCCTGCAGGTGGCCCTCTCTGGGGCAAACCTCGAGACAGCTGCCTTCGAAGCCGGCGAGGTCAGTGCGCGTCAGACCAACACGGTGACTTGGTCCATGGCCGCCATGGCCCTGCTCCGCTGCGTGAAACCTGACCAAATTGACCAACTCGGAAACACTGAGGCGAGCAATTTGAATGGTACGACATTCATCTTTCAGTGTCTTGCCTCAACCACCATTTCCTCCTACCGATTCTTGCCTTTTCCTATCTTTTCCTCTTTGGTTTCGATCTGAAGTGCTTGGCCCTTGGAGGGGAGAGCTGAGGCTTGTGGGCTTGGCGCTCATATGGTGGGCGGGTTACTTCATCATGTGGATGAGACTCGGCATCTCTGAGTGCAGACTACACATGGGTTTGAAAATGAAGTCCTTATACTTATACCTATGCCTATACACCCTTTTAATGGGAAAATAATGATAAACTATTACGAAAGCCAGCCGGGAAGCTTTGCAGGGTAATGTACCAGGCGGCAAAACAGTGACGGTGGGTATCGATTCCCCCATTGATGGCAGTAGAGGTGCCCCAACTTCGGGCCGAAGACGCCGAAGACGCCGCAGACGCCGCAGACGCCGCAGACGCCCGAAGACGCCCGAAGACGCCCGAAGACGCCCGAAGACGCCCGAGACGCCCAAGACGCCCGAAGAAGACGCCGAAGACGCCCGAAGACGCAGACGCCGAAGACGCCCGAAGACGCCCGAAGACCGCCCGAATAACCCCTAAGACGCCGAAGAGACGCCCGAAGACGCCGCTAAGACGCCTCCCTGAAGACCGCCGAAGACGCCCGAAGACCCGCCGAATGACGCCGAGACGCCCGAAGACGCCGAAGACGCCGAAGAAGACGCCGAAGACGCCCGAAGACGCCCGAAGACGCCGAAGACGCGCGAAGACGCCCGAAGACGCCGAAGACGCCCGAAGACGCCGAAGACGCCCGAAGACGCCGAAGACGCCGAAGACGCCTGAAGACGCCGAAGACGCCCGAAGACGAAGAAGACGCCGAAGACGCCCGAAGATGCCGCAGGGTTCCGAACAGGAGTTTAGAAACTAACTCCAGATTTCATTTGTGTCGTTTTACTCCGACCATGTCCGACCAACCCCAAACTTGTCATTTTGATTTATCTTGAGCCATGTTTTATCTACCTCCCTCGGCCCTACAACACAACACGTTCAACATATGAAGCAAGTTGACCTGTCGAGTCATTCTGCTAGTCATTATCATAATATTTAGTCCCTTCTCCACACAAACACTATGTTCAACATATGAACCAACTTGGCATCTTGAGTCATGTTTGAAATGTCTTTTCCTTCCCCTACAACAAGACAATACGTTGAACAGATGAAGAAAGTTGGCATCGTGAGTCATGATTGAAATTGGATCCAACCAAGCAATATATACATTCTGGCCCCTACAAAACACAACGTTCAACATCGTTCAGCATGAACAAGCCATCTCGAGCTATGTTTAACAGGTCCTTTCCCTACCTTTGCAAACCAATACGTTGAATATATGAACAAAGTAGAAATGTCACGTCATCTTTATATTTTGAACTCCTGTCCTTCCCCTGAAAAACAATACCTCGAACACACCAAAGAATAGGCTTTCGACATTTACAATTCCGTGACCCTACGCTGCAATACCTTGAACATGTGATCATAGTTGGCATTTTGGGTCATTATTATGATTTCATCCCCTTCCTCCTGCCCTGTACAAACCGCTACATTCAACATATGACCCAACTTGGCATCTTGGGTCATTTTTGAAATATACCCCCCTCGACCTTTCAATATGTTGAACAAATGAAGTAAATTGACATGTCGAGTCCCCGTCATCAAGATTTTTTGCGCTTCCGGCGTTACAAAACAATATGTTGAACCAACAAAATTGTCAGCTCAAATCATTTCTAAAATTTACCCGCCCCTCGACCCTACAAGGCAATACATTCAACATATTAAACCAACTTGGCACCTTGAGTGATGTTTAAAATGTTTTTCCTCCCCTGCATATTATTGCCTTGAATATTGAACACATTATGTCAATTTTTTGCACCCCCAAAACCTCCACAAAACCATACATTTGAAAGCAGAACAAAACTTCTATCTTGAGTTCTTTTTCCCCACCTGCCAGGTGAAGGTTTCTAGATTTTAACAAAGGTGCGACTCCTTCCTCTTCTTCTTCTCCTTCCTCTCCTTCCTCTCCTTCTCTTCTTCCTCGCCGGCTGTGGATGCAGTGGAGTGCGGCTCGACCTGAGTGCCATGCCGCGAGATCAGGATGCCTGGACCCGACAGCCATATCGCGCGCTCAGGAAGCTGTGGAGCGCGCCTGGACCCGAACAAACAGAATGGCAGAATATACGTCAGATACAATGCCAGAAAGAATGTCAGATAGAATATCAGAATATATTTGCCATAAATACTTCCAGATGGTATGTCGTAAACTATGTCAGAACATATAGCGCGTAAGAGAGGGGCATAAACTTACATTCCATCAGCCCTGCAAAGCAATAGGTTCAACATATATTATATGAACAGTTGACACATGTAGTTAGTGTTATATAGATTTTCAAACACATCCCCTACAAGGCATTCAACATGTAAACGAACTGGGCATCTTGAATCATGTTGAACATGTCTTTTCCTTCCTCACAAAACAACACGTTGAATTTATGAACAAAGTCAAAAATGTTGATTTATTTTCACATATTTCAGCCCCCCCTACCCTACCCTACAAAACAATACGCTGAACAGACGAAGAAAATTGCCATTTTGAGTCAATTTTGTGATTTACCACCCATCGACCCTACCAGATAATATGTTGAACTTATGGAAAAAGTTAACTGGCTGAGTTCTTCTCATCGGTTTACCTCATCAAAACACTACGTTTAACATAGTTGAACATATGAACCAACGTAGCATCTTGAGTTACGTTTAAAATATCGTTTCCTCCCGTGCAAAGCAACACGTTGACTATGAACACAGGGGAAGGGTTAAGTCAGTTCATTTTTTTTATGCCTCCCCCCGCCACAAAACAATATGAATGTTGAACACATGAAACAAATTGAGATCTTGAGCCAGTTTTGAAATTTATTCCCCCCTGACCTTACCATGAAGTTGACATGTTGAGTCGGGTCATTGCTACAAACTTGCCCGCCCGTCCCCTACAAAACACTACGTCCGTTCAACATTAGAGCTAACTTGGCATCTCGAGTCATGATTCAAATGTCATTTCCTTCCCCTTCAACAAAACAATACGTTGAACAAATTAAGACAATTCATCTTGAGTCATTTTTGAAAGTTACGACCCCCCGACCCTACACAGCAGTACGTTAAACATGTAAAGAAAATTGGCATATTGAGTCATTTTGTAGATTTCGTCACCGTCCTGTTGAAAGCACTACGTTCAACATATGAACCAACGTGGCATCCTGAGTCATGTTCAAAAAGTATTCTTTATTCCTCAAAAATCAATACGTTGAATATACGTATGAACAAAGTTGAAATGTTGATTTGTCTTGAAAAAAATCACCCCCTCCCTTTCCAATTCATACATTGAACACATGAAGAAAAATTGCATCTTGAGTCATTTTGCAATTTACAACCCCTCGACTGACCCTACAAAATAAAACCTTTTGCATACCGAGAAAGCTTACATGTCGCGTCAGTTTTGAAATTTACCCTTCTCAACGCTACAAAGATTATAGTCGAACATTTTGGAATTTTACCAACACCTTGACCCTACAAATCAATACATTCAACATATGGATCAAGTTGACATGTTGATTCATTCTATTGGATTTACCTGCCCTGTCCCCTACAAAACATTTTGTTTAACGTATGAATCAGCATGGCATCTTGACTTATGTTAAAATGTTCATTGCCTTCCCCTACAACAAAACCATACATTGAACACATGAAAAAAAGGAATCTTGAGTCATTTTTGAAATTTACAACCCATCGACCCTACAAAACAACACGTTGAACATATGGAGAGATTTCGCATGTCGAGTGATGCTTGGGATTTCCGTCCCTTCGACCCTGCCGGACAAATGGTTTAAGGTATGAAGAAAGTTGCCATGCGGAGTCATTTTTGAAATTTACATCTCCTCGACCCTACCTAGCTAGCACCCCCTTCAACAAATGAACAAACTTGGCATGTTGAGTCATTGTTAAAGATCTACTCCCCTGTGCCCTACAAAAATATACGTTCAAAGTCGTTCAACAAACAAACCTGTTTGGCATCTTGAGACGTGTTTAACATGTTCTTTTCCATGCAAGTCAGAACCTTGAAGATAGGAACACAGTTGAAACGTTAAGTCATCTTTTGTCATCCGCCCTCCCCCACAAAAACAATATCTTGAACACATGGGGGCAATTCTCAGCTTGAGTCATTTCTCAATTTACCAATTTTTCAATTTATTCCCTTTTTCGGTCCTACAAAGCAATATGTTCAACGTTGGAAGAAAGTTGACACGTGGAATCGTTGTTGCGAATTTACCCTCCTCGACCCTACAAAACAATACGTTCATTGTATGCGGAAAGTTACCACGTGGTGTCATTTTGAAAATTTACCCCCCCCCTCGAACCTTCAAAACCATACGGTTGATTCAACATATGAAGAAAGTTGACATGTTGAGTCATTGCTATAGATTTATCTTCCGGCCCCCTACAAAACACTTTGTTCGACATATGAACCGACTTGGCATCCTGAGTCATGTTTGAAATGTCTTTACCTTCCCCTACAACAAAGCAAGACGTTGAACGAACAAAATTGGAACTTCGAGTCATGTTTGGAATCTACGCCCACTGGACCATACACAGCAATACATTCAACATATGGATCAAGTTGACATGTTGATGCATTCTTTTGGATTTACCTGCCCTGTCCCCTACGAAACGCTATGTTTAGTGTATGAACCAGCATGGCATCTTTACTTATGTCAAAATGTTCCTTGCCTTCCCCTGCATCAAGACAATACGTTGAACACATGGAAAGAAAGGCATCTTGAGTCATTTTTGAAATTTACAGTCCCTCGACCCTACAAAGAAATACGTTAAAAAAAACGGTGAAAGTTGACACGTCGAGTTTTGTTTACGGTGAAAGTTGACACGTTGAGTTTTTCTTAAAATTGAGGTTTTCTCGACTTTACAAAGCAAACGGTTGAACAAGTGCAGAAAATTGACATGTGGGGTTATTTTTGCAATTTATAACCTCTCGTCGACTCCACAAAATACAAAGCAGTACCTGTAATATATGAACAAAGTTGACATGTTGAGTCGTTGTTTTGAAGTTTGAATGTATTCCCTCCATCTCCCCCGATCCCTTTTAAAACGCTACGCTCAACATATCAACCAATTTGGAATCTTGAGTCATTGTTATGCTTTTTCCCCGCTGTCCCCTACCAAAACACTACGTTCAACAT